GTGAAACCCTTTCTGGCTGGAGTCTTCCTCTGTAGCAACTAGTCTCAAGGATTCATCTGACAGAGCGAGGATCTTCAATTAAATTGGGGGCTGCATTGGTTCAGGCAGAAATTGCTGCCTGCTATAATAAACCAACACTGGTTGTTTAGGACCTAGTTTCCAGTCAACCAATAATTATTGCATAGGCATATAGTAATTGCTTTCTATAAGCCTTCATGATGTGTTCTTTGGAGAATTTGTAAACAGTTGATTTTTATGTCTTTAGTCAGTTATGTGATGAAAATACACTATCTTCTATATGTGCAAGGAGGTAGATGATCTTTCACTGTCATTTGCGTGCAACTGCTAAAAGTCTTGTTTGTGACACTTGGATTTGTAACAGCCTAGCCAGTGTTCTGCATGGCAGTGTTGTTTGTTGATGAGATACTCCTATGAATGAGCTTTCTCTGTACCCAGTCTCATAATTGTTTGTTGTTTTTTGTGTTAATGTAGTTAAGTATCACTTGAAATATGTAAAGCTTGCTGCTGTGCCTCTCGCAGCAATGGTGACTGGAGGTAGCTTGTGTTCATAGTGCTTTGGAAGTTGAGAGCTACAGCAGAACGTCTGAAGCTGATGTCAATCTTGCCATTAAAAGAAGTTATGTGCCCGCAAGACCTTAGCACGCACACACTATTCCACTGAAGACGGTACTTGAGCCCTTAATTCAAGCAGATCATCTTGTTTTTTTAATTCATTTTTCTTCCTTCTCTGTTACAGGTCATCTGATCTTTTGTACGTGTTAATGGAAATAAAGCCTGTTTGAGAGAAGGCTTCAAGTCCTTAACATTTGCTGTAATTACCCAGCCCCTCTGCTGTGGTTCAGATGTGTGTGCCTGGCTTTCTTAGTAATTGATCCTGTGAATTGGTGTGTGTTAAAAGCACTAACATCAAGTAATACGTGTTCTTTAGCTCTCGGATTTGAGAGTATTTCAAGTATGTGAACTGTGGAATGGATAGCTGTGAATGAATGCTGCCCAGGAAAGAGCAGTTTGTTGTGCTTATCACCCCTGGAAATGAGACCATATGTGTCTCAAGCATGTCCTGTTTTCTTTATCATGATTAGCCTGAAGCTGAAGTTCATCTCAGAGCTGTCAATATTAATTTTCAAGGAAGGGGTGGAAGTCCTTTAGATGGCTGACTGAGAAAATGTAGAGCTGTGTTCAGCTGCTCATTGCCAGCACACATACACTTCTGAAGGAAGTAACTTCTCTGTCTCTATTATTGGCAGTCTTTGCCTCTGCAAGGATGATTCAATAGAGTAAAACTTGACTTTATGAAAGTTTTGGGGAAATGGGGAAAATGGTAACTATGGGACCTGTAATGCAAAAATTCCATGTTAATAAATGGAGGAACTATACTAGAAAACTACTACTGAGTTTCTTGGCACACTATTTGCTACTTTTCATTTGAATGTTATCAAAATAACTCATCCTTGGTACTCTAGTAGCACAGTATTGAGTTAAGGTATGTGAATGACACTAACTTTTTTCAAATTATGCAGTGATTGCTTTCAGAAAAATCTCTGCACTGCCCTAGAAACAGTGGGGCAGATGCTTTTAGCTGTACTGATGTGTATCCAAATTCATTGATTAAACAGGGTTTAGTAGTGTTCCTCCTGACTGGCACAGTGGTGTCATGTGAAACATGACTTATATGAATTAAGTTGCAGATACAGAGAAGACATCTCTTCTAATATTTGCACGCCTGCTTAAACATCGAACTTTTTAACTATGAAAACCTTGCTTAACTAAACAACTGTTGCTTAAGGAAAAACCAGTTTGTTGCTTGGTTTCCTGCATGTGTTTCCCTTTTCCCCCTGGCACAACCTGTTCTGTGAGTTGCAGACCTGGTGTTCTTGGAGTTAGGTACAAGGCACTTCTTTAAAGATAAGATGGCTCTGTCTGGGGCTTGTCAGAGGGCTAACCTTTGCAGGTATTTATTTTTAGTGACCAAAATTGTGTTATGAGCGAGCTACCTGAATTTTCTACCTGTCTGTCATCACCATTAACTTCTTTCTGAGCTTTGATTATTCTCAAGTCACCTACAATGCATCTCTCTGTTGGGAGGGAGCACAATGCTTTTTCTATTTTTAAGTATTGTATTTGCCATTTAGACAGCTGTTCCTCAGAGCCAAATTAATCAAATAGTCCTGCCCAGGTTAGAGTATTAGTTAGCTTTTCATAAGAAGCTTTTTTTTAATAATAATATGCACCTGCTTTTTAAACACAGACATGATTACTGTTCCTGGTCTGCATGGTAACAGCTTAATGTGCCCCTCTAATTAGAACTGTACCTATTTTCTCTAGGCATCTGTCATGTTACTTAAGCAACAAAATACATGGTGTGACTTAGCATGTATAACGCTCATTCAGAAGAGCCTTATTGTGTTGGTATTAACACAGTCATTAGAGTAAGCATATTGTTTGGATCAGTTAGCTATAAAGTTGGTAAATGGTAGAATGTTGTTAATAAATGTTTCAGCTTGATTGCACTCAGACGAATTCTTGCTTTGATGTAGTCATAGCAATGTGGTATCCAGGGGAATGCTATTTTGATATAAAAAAATCTGCTAATACTTGGTTTCTAATTAGTATTGCTTGGGGAATTCACTTGTAGGTCTAAACTGTTAACTTGATTAACCTGTATTTTTTAAGTCACAAGGTACTTCTGAGACACGTTTAATTATGTTCTGTATTAAAGGAAGGTTATTACACATAAGACCAAGCAAATGTGGCTTAAAAAAAAATACTTAGAGTTGGAAGAAATTAATAGTATTTCAAGGAAGTAACTTCATTTATGCAATAAATGTACTATGTTACATGCTTTAAACCTGGATGCATGTTTTCACTCTGTTGGCTTAGTTGGTATAACTATGTTGAAGTCTGACCACCTGAAATTGCTGTAAAATACCACATTGAGTATTTGAATACATGATTTTGCTATGCCTCAGTAGCAATAGAAAGTCTTTAGTCTGTAGCACTGGAAATGCTGTCATGGTACCTTTTTTTAGAGTTCAGTTCAAGTAATAACTGATTTGCATCAAGCCTAGTAGTGGTTTGTAGTTGCTTGAAGAGGAAACTAGGTGATAAGATGGGGTCTTAAATGTTCTTTAATTGACCATTTTGTTTAACTTGCCCCACTGGTTCTCCTCTAGTGTCCAAAATAGAGCTTTGTATAACAAATTGTACCATGTTCTATCTTAGTGCTGTATCTTCCAGAATCAAACAGTAACATCTCATTAGGTGGCTTGGAGTTGGGGATGGGGAAGCTGAGAGGGAGAAGAAAATGGTTAAAGCAAGTAAGTGGTCTTGGAGAACGCAGTTCTTTAACCTTGTACATACAAAAATAATAAGAGAACCCTATTGAACTTAACTGCTTGTGGATCAAGGTTGTAGTAAGATTTTTATGCCTAGCAGTCAATTGTAGAAGGCAGATCCTGTAGATAAAACATCTGATTATACTAGTTCTTCATGATCTGTGAATAGTAATGCCATGGATTTCAACTGATCTGGAAGGCTTATTGGTGGGAGAAGACCAGAAAAGCATTTCAATTCAAGAACGAGGCTTAATGGAAAGGTGCTCTTGACGCTTCTAGGAAACTTCAGTAAAACAGCATCTTGTCTGTGTTCACAGAGTTGTGTTATTAGTGCTTCAGGAAACTTTTTTTTTTTTCTTGTAAGGAATATGTTCTCAGTTCCTTGGAAATGTAAGACTTAAACACCCCACCCCCACACACCCCCACAAAAAAAACCAAACCCCAACAAAACCAAACCAACCAACAAACAAAAAAACCCAACTCAACAAAATGATACCCCAACACAAACAAAACTCCTGTCACAGGTTGTCTGACTCTTGCAGAGCTTACATTCAGTGTCTGGGGGAAGACACCTGAACTACAGCTGCAAGCGCACAGTTATTAAAACTCCAACTTGGGCTGATGCCTGGTAGTTAACAGTGGGGGAAGATGCTGTGCTAATTCAATAGGGGAAAGTAAGGCAGAGTTGCTATTTCTGCTCTAAAAATATTTTTTTCTCATCTAACGGAACACTACATGCTACTGGATAGACTCAGTCACTGGTACAGCTCAGAAGTTCTGCAGCACGATGAGTTTCTTTGCACTGTCTCAAGAAGACATGTAGGTGACTGAGTTGTACCTAATGTGTTCAGGGAGTGAGGACTTTGCAAGATCAAGGGTATTAATCTCTTTTAGGTTGGTTTTGGTAACTTGACAGCATGGAGGTGGCTTATTCAGCTCATTTAAAAATTGAATGGTTAAATCACCTTGTGATCTTGGACACTTTTTTCCTGAAGTTGTATTCATGCCCATCATGGGTTTGATGTGAGGAAGACAAGCAATCACATAGATTATTGAGACTAGTTAGTGCAGTTTACTTTTGTTTTAAGATGGAAGAAATAGTAATGTAACTACTCAGGAAAAATAGCTAGAAAGATTCATCTGAAAAAGTGTGTCTTGTTCTAGAGGATTATTCATAACTGAGTATAGAGTGGTTCTGAACTGGGAAATGAGGCATTTTTAAAATGGCACCACAGAATTTCTAATTTCTCCCATATTCAGCTCTGCCTCCCTTAACATTTAAATTCTTTGTTTTGATGAGGGGTAGGCACTTGATCAAGTGCTTGGAACTGAGGTGAGAGATTGCATGTTCATGGTGCTGAAGTTTGGATGGATAGTAAACTATCTGATAGTTAATCCAATAATAAAGGCACCAGTGATTAAAGTGGGACTGTGAGACTTCTGGGTCTGTGTGATACCTCTTCTGTTCAGTACAGCTCTTCCTCATAACACAGACAACTTCCTCCATATTCTATATGTCTTTACTGTGTGATCTTTGAACCACGTTCTAACACTGGCTTTTAGAAGCCTACTTGAAACGTTTTGGTCATAATCCCTGTGTGATATTCCGATTGAGTACTAAAATAAAAATCTTCTAACCTGCAGCACAGCCAAGTACAGTGTGGTGACATTTCTACCTCGATTCCTGTATGAGCAGATAAGAAAAGCTGCAAATGCATTCTTCCTCTTCATTGCCTTACTGCAGGTATTGTTTTATTGGTTTGGCTTGATTATAAAATGGAATTGTAATACAGCAAAAGTTGCTTCGGTTGTTATGCTTAACTGCAAAGAAATCCTTAGACATTTTAATAGTAATAATTCTATACTTCCACAGAAGTACTTCTGTACTACTTAGTATATACTTTACAATTGAAATTAGAAGGCAACTTAGAGACTTCTCAATGTGGTTTGTAAAATCAAGCTACTTTTATTCTTAGTAAGACCAAGAAGTAGTATTGTAAAATATGGAGCTATTGACCATACTGAGAAAAGCATGTGTGGATTCTTGTGAAACTGCTAACTGTTTAGATAGTCCAGATTATCACTGCTTCCAGGTAAATTACATTATTTGAATGCTTTTCTTGTGAAGAGAGGAGAAATAGAATAAGACATGTACAACAACTTTATCTTCTAACTTTATGGTAGTAGTTTCTTCAAACCTACTGAGAGCTTAGGCTACTTTGCCCACTGAAATTGGATGTCAGTCAGGCACAGATTAGAAAACTCTGCGTTCTCTTTTCTGAGAGCTTTGCTTAAAGTTCTAAATCTGCTAGAAACTAATTTTAAATACCAATATAAAATGGGTATCTCTTTTTCCTCTGTTCGCAGCAAATTCCAGATGTCTCTCCAACAGGAAGATATACTACCTTGGTGCCATTGCTATTTATTTTAACAGTTGCTGGCATCAAAGAAATCATAGAAGACTATGTGAGTATGATTATGGGGAAGGCTGTGCTAAAGACAGTGTTTCAAAAAAAGCTGCAAAATGCTACAAAGCTATGCATCTATGAAGTCAATATTGAGTCATTGCTGAGCAGCAGCAAAATATCCTTTTGATTTTCAAAGCTCTGAACTTGACTAGAATTTCTGTAGCACGTGGAGATAAATCAAGCATTTTCGTTATAGATGGGGAACAAGGAAGCAGTAGAAGTCAGGAAACTTGTTTCTGCCTCTTCAAACTTGTTTATTTGTGCTTTTAATAGAAAGGCCTGGCTAAAAAGGCACTGTAGAGTTCTGACAGATACGTGGCCTTTTAATTGGTCTTGAGAAAACTGGGGGGGGGACCGGGGGCGGCAAGCAAATTGAGCATAGAACAAACTATTTGGGGGAAAATCTGCACTAACTTGCTTGGATACTGTTTAAAATGAAGAGGTCTTTCTGCTTTGCAAAGTTCTGATGAATAAAATAATTTAGAAATCAGTCTAAACAAACAGCTCATAGAATGTGTAGTGCAGCTGTCATCTAAATATACTGTTCCTCATTGTTCCTTTTGTTTTTCTTTCCAAAAACTAGTTTTGGAGACTTAAGTTTTTTTTGCTGATGATCCAGGTTTGAGCCTGACTTTCAAGATGGGGACTCTCAGTTTAAAGTTACATTGTATTCTTTTACAAACCATTTGGATTTAGATGATCTGTATGGCTTTTTAAAAAAAAAATGTAACAAAGGCAAAAATGACCCAGTATATCATTTTGCAGTTTGTCATGTTTCTAGCTCTAATGGTTTTGGAATCTGTACTGAAGTGTAATGAGGTGTAATGAAATGTTTTGTTTTCTTGCAGAAAAGGCATAAGGCAGACAGTGCAGTGAATAAAAAGAAAACAATAGGTAAGACTAAACAGTCTTTAAATATTTAAAGTGCAAATAGTGAATACCAGAACACTTACTTTTGAATAATTCTGTTGCTTAAACAGTCATGATGGTGGGGAATGCATGTCTTTTTGGAATAGGTAGTTGCTGGTATGTTAGGGTTTTACTTTACTAAATGTTTCAGACTAATGTGGGTAGTGTGACACTTGAGGGTGAGGCATGGGGGGGATTATTAGAATTTATAAGTTCATGTAACTTCAAGGTTTTCTGAAGTTAAACAGTTCTGAGCTCCTCCAAGGAAACCAAGCAGTCTTCTCCCCTGCCAAACTCTGTCCTGATTATTCTAAAAAATAAAAACCCAAAAACCACCCAACCAAAAAAAAAACCCAAAACAAAAACCCCACCCAGAACAAAACCCCCCCAAAACCCCCCCCCCCCCAAAAGCCCAACCAACAAAAAAAGCCCAACAAACTATTGAAACGCTAAAAGTTGGCGTCAAAGGAGTTTTAAGTCATTTTTGTAACTGTTTCTGCCCTTAAAATATAGGAAGAACTCTGGGGATTTTGTGCATTTGCTTTCCTGAAGTGTCAGTAAAAGAATTTAACAATGATATTCTCTGAATGCCTACATATATCCCTGAGATATTGACACTACTTGGTACTGAATACCTGAAGACATCATATTCATTTTCTTCATCTCCCTTAAGTGAGAACCTGTGCAGAAAATTGGAATTGTTTGTTGAAGGCTACCCTATGATCAGTCTGTGCTGCAGTCATGGGATCTCTGCATTCCTGTGTTGGATAGCTCCCCTCCTGCTCTATGGAGATCTGTAGGTGAAATGGAAAACACAGGGACTTGACATCTGAAAAGAGCACCTTCCTCCCAGACACATTTAGTTTAAGTGTTAAAAAGCTAGAGAAACCCTTAAAGGACAAGGGGAACCGAACAACATGCTAGCTCCATCCTTCGGTTAATAGGCATAATGTTTGCAGGACTGTTTTCAATGAGTTGTTTTTCTTTCATCCTTGAGAAGTTAAGTTGATCATTGAGATTTTATATTAATGAACATCAAAAAGCATTGCTTTACCAGTGCAAGGTAATTTCGCTACAAGAGTCTGGGAAGATGTTTCAAGTGCAAGAACACTGTATTTATTAGTCATGAGAAATCAGCAATTAACTGGCTGTAGGACAGCAGGCCTTGTTATAGGTAATGTGAAAGACTGTTCTTTCAAAGGTCATATAGGTGCTTCTAATTCATTTGTAGTTAGAGAACATGTGCTAACAAACACTTCAAGGGAAGTTTATCACAGTAATTGTGGAGAGACAACCTTAAACACCACGAGGTATTCTTATGGACCTAAGTAGCACTTTAAATTATTTTAGTTCGGGTTTTGGTTTTTTAGTTTGAATACTCTAAAATAGTTTTCAAAATGATACTTAAAACTGTATCTTCGTATTTCTTAAGAAGAAGGCTAAAGAGGCTCATTCTTGAGATTTGTATTATGAGAATGAAAAGCTAATTTATGTTCAAGGTGGGATTAAGATGAAATAAATTTAGGTTCTGTATGTGTCTTCAGGTTCCTCGTATAGTCAAGTGAGGTCTAGTCGAAGCAGTCAGTACAGAGAGCAGTTCAACTCACTCAAAAATAGACAGGTACTGGCTGCTTGGCTATGTTCTGAACTCCAGTGCCTGCAATGACCAGATGCTTGCTTCAGTAGCATGCATGTAGGCTTTGCTTTTATCTTCATGCTTAGTTTTTTGGAGCAGTAGTGTATCTTCAAAGCACATTTCCTATATTAAATTTACCATTAAAAACACTGGTTTGCTTTGCAGAGTGGCTTTGGTATGTAGGAATTAAAATCCCTTTGGAGAAAAGTAGATTGAAAGTTCTGCTCCAGGTGAGCAGTGTACATCTCTGTTAGGAACTGGAGCGTGTTAGGCTCTGAGCCAGTGTTTCATGTCTTGGGTGGCTTTACATGGTGTATACGGACATGACATTGACTCTCCGGACCAGACTAAATGTAATCCCAAGAGAAGCCCCTGAGCAGCATATTGCATGGATGTAGAGAGCTCAGTAATAACTGTTCTGATGTATTGATCCTCTTGTTGTCAAATGATAGAATAAGCTGCGAGCATTTAATACTGTAAGGGATGCGCTCTAATAGTTTGCTAGCCCTGTGCTTGTCTGCTGTTGTGCAAGACTGATGGGAAATGCTTGTCGTTCAGGACCAGCACTTCAAATGGCCCTACACACTGAGGTGTGAGTGGCAGCATTAAGTCTTAGATCCAGAACATCAATACACTGGTTTTTAGTCTTAGAAAGTCTTAGGTAGAAGGTTTATATTGAAACTCTGTTTTTGAGTAGGAGCAGTCTTTTTAGGTACTTCTTCTTTGTTACTTTAACCAAATACCTTTTGTCAATGAATAATTCATCAGTTTTACCTTCCTATAAAACTTTTAGAGAAGACAGTCATTTCTGTCCTTTGGAGTACTCCTATAAAACTGGGTTAAGCATAGCAGAAGGTGCAAAATTGTAGCCCCAAAATTTCTGAACTGTTTTATGTCTAATGGAAGCTTTGTCTTTTGACCATGGGGTTATAAGTTTAAAAAAAAAAAGTAGCTTCAGTAACTTGCTTGACTAATTAATTTCAATACTTAAATTGATTTCAATAAGCATGGAAGTTAAATTGTTTTCTTAAGTAAATTGTCTACAAGACCAAGTTCATGGCACTTGAAGCTACAAAATGCCTTCATTGCACGTGAACATGCAACATTGAATTGTGTGCTGAACCATCTCCAAAATTTTCTGTTGCAACAGGGAGCTGTTTAAAGCAAGGCACAGGAGATGCTAAGTGTTGCAATTCCTCTGAGGGTTTGGGTTTTTAGTTAAGGCTGAAGGTATGGCTTTTTTACGTCAGATTCCGGGCTCAGGCGTTCTCCTGAGTTCTGAATTAAGCAGAGCTCAGTTCAAGCACAGTTTAGAAGAGGGAAGGAGAGGGTGCAACAAAACTGTTCTTCCCCTAAACTGCATAAGCTTGTTTGGGTGGAAGCTCAGCAGTTTAGATGCATCACTAGCAGTGCTTCTGTTGCTGCCCACACATTTTTTGTGCACTTCACTGTGATCCATCCACTGTATTATTAAATCTCCGGATTCAGTGCTCTAAAGTGTGCGGCCTGAGGACAGGAATCAAGAAATAGCTTTCTTGTGCTTGATTTGGTCTGAAGAATCTTGCATTCCTGTTTGTAGAGTGGCCTAACCTGATGAGGGGGGCTGAGGCTGTATTCAGCAGAACTGTATCTTTTGGGAACTTAGTATGGTTTTCAAATGAGCTATGTATGTGAATTGCATAGAACTGAGGAGAAAATTGTTTGTATTAAAAGTAGGGGGCTGGTCTCTTCAATTTTCATCTGTGGTATGCTATACTTCTAACATCTTTGAAAACTGGCTGCAGCTGCTTTCACTGAAGTGTTTGTTTAGGTATACTTGGTGTGCTCACACCTGGACTGGATTTGGTTACCCAGCTATGACTGGGCATAAATTTTTGATCTTACTGTTTAGGCTGGGGTAGTATTAAGTATGTATAGAGCCATCTATAAGAACTACCTGGGTGGCAAAGCATGTTCCAGAGTAGATGACCGATGAGTGTGTTAAGACAGCAGTATAGGACTTAGGTGCTACAGAAGCCAAGGCCTGTTTCAGTACCTTGTTTTCAAACTCTTTTGTTTTAATGTGAACTTCAGCATTTAGGATTCATTCTCCTTCTGCCAAAGCTGATGTTTGCTTTTCAGTAGGAGTTTGAGGCTGTTTGACGATTAAGCCTCAGCCTTTGTTAAAGAATTTTCAAACGTGGGTTTCTCTAGGTTTGCTTTATTAACAACTCAGAGTTGGGCCACCACCGCAGTTAATGGTGAAGGACAACTCAAATGCCTTCTATATAGATACGATTTTACAAAACAGTATGCAATTGGTTATTTCTCAAGAGAAGTTCTTGGTGTTCGTCCATGACCTCTCAGTTCTTTGTTCTCCACTGGTTTCAAAAGTCCAATGCATTTTCCTGTCTCAACTGATTCTTATTGTCTCATTTCAGTTCTGAAGTTGGTGGTTGTAGGCAGAAGGTCTCCAGTCACCACAGTCACTTACCTTCTTGCACATCAGAGATCACCTTTGAATTTCTGAGAATCACTCAGGCTGTTTTATTAATTCATCTTACTCTAAAGTTAATCGCTTACTCCTATCTATTCTTATGTCTTAGGTCTAAGATGTATGATCCTTTTTTTGTTGATTCAGCTTGACTGGGTTCTAAGCCAGCCATGGTGAGGGCTATACAAGGGACAAATAAGCAGTTTATCCATATTGTTTTATGAGCACCCGCATTCTATTAATCACATCTAAAACAATCTCTAATTGTTAGTTATATGTCTCATATGAACAGTCTTAGAAACAATGAGGCTTAAGGCCTAGTTCCCTTTACAGGCCTTTATAAGGGCAATTGATGTGGTAGTTGGATGTGTCAAAACGTAATGAACAAAATGCAAGGAAAAAGGTGAGAAGTGAAGATTCTGTGGTTGAATCACGTATAAAGATGCTTCCTAATAGTGATTAACAGTGGGCAATAATGCCCTTTGTTTTAAGGAAGGTCACTTCCCAAACAAACAACAACACTGCCCATCTGTGGGTTAGTATGAAATGATGCCAAGAAGAAATCGGGCCACCAACTGTTGTCTAGCAGGTGATAAAAATGATACAAATACTAAGGGCAGATTCTTCCTCTTTCTTGGATGCACATGCCTACAGCTGTGGACAAAAGTGTGATCCTAGCTTCTGAAAAGTACTCTTCTGATCTGTGTGTGAGTTCCTATTCTGGTCAATGTTTGCTGCTGATGATACAGTTGTTTTGAAATTTGTCTGAATCTTGGCTATTTATTCTAATTTAACTTTAAACTTTCTTTGCAGTTCTAAGAAATGGGATGTGGCAGAACATTATGTGGAAAGAGGTAAATAAAATTGGGGTGGGAGGGAGTGGAAGAGGGTGTTCAAGAATTACTCTTGCCAAAATAAATTCGGAGGCTTAGAATTAATGTATGCTATGTGAGAATTCCCTGTGACTTGGGGTGGGAGGGATCCTTTCTGTTGCAATAGTGAAAATTGCCCTGAGCAAGGCACCTGAGTACCCATCTTTAAATCCTAGTACTATGCTTCAGTCAAATGCTTATGAACTGTTCTAAGTGTTTTTGCTTGGACAGTTAATAGGCTCCAGGGTGTAAAGGGTATTTTTAGTCCATATCTAGAAGAGTAACTTTCACTGCAATGCTGTACCTCACCTGAAAGTCGAACAGAGACTTATTTTGCTCCCTGTGCTAAAAAGTTCTTGGGTTTTGAGGCTAATCAGTAAGCTGTTTTCTCAAGTAAGGAACACAAGCCCTGCTGCTTCCTCAGGCACTTGGGACCCATGTTCTGTTAAGCCCTGTGTGAGGATGTGGTGAGCTTTATTTCTAGAACTTGCTGAAATTCCTCAGGATGTATTGATCTAATCATGGCTCTTAATGCCTTTTTAATGACAAAATTAGCCCTGTTACCTAATAAATGAGGGAAAAAGTACACCCTTTTAAAACCTCTGGGAAATGAGACCTGCCTCAAGAGACCTAAAAGCAATCCTACTGAAGTGTTAGGCTATAGTAGAAACTACAGATTGCCAGGGATTCTGATGGTTAATGCTGATGCCTGTTCATGCTGTTCCATGTCCTATTTGAATTGAAAGATATTTAAAGCTGAGCCTGGTATCTGGTTTCCTTATACCCTTAAGCAGTTCTTGAATTGGCCTGTGTCCACATCTGCATATTGTCCAGGCTCGCATTTATTGTTAGGGAATAACAGTTCTGTATTATCTACCTTGTTTACTTTAAGGCAGACTTCTGATCTTCTTTGTCTTGAAATTGGTAGGGAATTTGTTTTCAGTAGGATCAGAGTAAGTCTAATGAATCTGCCTGTTCAAACATGCCATCTGTTTCAATTTTTATAAATTAATGTGTTAAAAATATTTCAAGCCCATTTCAGACTCTTAAACAGTGCATTGGCGCTAAGCAGCCTGATAATCATCAGGCAAGCCTGGCTTACTGTGTTGAGAGTGCTATTTGGTCCATCTTAGAATGGAAAGTCCCATGCATGTGTGACTCCCATTAAATGTGCCAGAAGCTCTTAGGTCTCCTGTGTTCCAGAAAACAGGACTTAGCACATCTCAAGTGACTATAGGTCAGGGAAGAACTGATTGATACTATCTATCTGTAGTAGATACTGTAGAGACAATACTTCTTGCTAGTGACTACTACAAGCGGTGCAACTAAAGAGGGCTAAGAAAAAATGATAGTGCTGACTGGATAGGTAAGTAGTATGGAGAAGGAATAGGAGAAGCTCTTGATACTTGAGGAAGGTAAAGTTTAAGATGGCTTTTGTAGTAGGAAAAAAAATCTTTCTGTAGGTTTAATAAAGGAAAAAAACTCTCAAGTTTGGTTATTGGCAGGATTATAGAAAACAAGTAATCTTTACTAAATATAAGCCACTGACGTTCACACTTTGCCACTGTGTGTATCTATTTTTTTTCTATAGAGAACTGTTTACTTTGCATTCAAAAAAGGGAATGCTTTGATACTTCCAAACTTGCAGTGAAAAGTACTCTGACTTTCAGCAGCACTGTCTCTAGCTGTTCTGTGCATGATGCTGTTCTTTTGACTGGGTGAAGGAAAATAACAAACTAACATTCCAGACAAGCGAACTGTTTGTTTTTCTTTTCCATGCTACTGTACTCCTGCCCCTGACTGAACAGGTAGCAGTAGGCGATATTGTGAAGGTCACCAATGGGCAACATCTTCCAGCAGACATGATCATTATATCTTCCAGGTATCCTGAATGGGTGTGGAAGTGATGTGTCTGATGAACTGAGGTGCAGAGGACTTGAAACTCTGTATTTGCTATTAACAGAAACAGACATCAGATGGCACTAATTCTTCTCCACATTTAAAATAAAATTTCAGCAATGTCAAAACAGTGCTTTAGTAGGCAATGATTCATATATCAATGTAGATCGGTTCTTAAGAAAGAAGGCTTCTTTAAAGACTTCATAGTATTATGTACCTGTAATTCACAAAGTGTATCACTGAGTTTGTTGGAAGACTGAAGGTCTGTTACACAAGTTTCATGCATTCAGTTGCTCTTGCTGCTTTCTGAGGATCCCTCCATTTAATTAAGGAAGCTTAAGTTTTCTTCCAATTAATTCCACTGAGTTTCCAGCATATTTTCCTGCCTCTCAGAAAAGATTTCTCTTTCAAACAGTAATTCTAAAAGGCTAGCCCAGCTGGCATCTAATGAGTAGCCTGCAAAATAGCTTTTGGGCTTCATTTGTTTACTCCTTGTCTTTGATACAGCACATGTATAGCCCATCCCTAGCATTGTAGCAGCAGTGAACTGTTGAGCCCTCCTCCTTTTAGTTTGTGAAATACAGGACAGCTTCCTTATACTTTATACTGGCAAACAAAGCTTGGTTGTTAGTTCCTAAAAGCATTTGAGTGGTACTTGGCTGGTGATCTAGATTCTATATTGTGTTGAACAACTTCAGGCCAAATCAAGACCACTGTCTGCTTAGATGAGATTGAAACAAGAGACAATAGCGCAGTTCCTGTTGTTGAACATGCTTTTTTCTAATAGCCAAACCTTATGACATCTTGCTCTTCTCCATAATTTCCTTCTGTCTGCATGCTTTTCAACAGTGACTGCAGGTTGCTCTGGTCTCCAGGTTACAGTTCTCTTAGATGACCCAACTTCTAAGGGAACTTGTTTTCTAAGCTGCTGCATTATATGTTCCATCATCCTTGTCTGTGCCATTCCTGGGAGGTTTCATTTTTTTTGAAAGCTGTATAGGGAAGCTCAGTCTTTTTGAACTGTCATGGATTAAGGATAGAGGTATCTTCATTCCGTGGTATACAATATTGTTTGGTTTTGTTTTTTTTTTTTAAATGAACCTCAAATTTTAAATAAGCAGTTGTCAACCTTAATATGCAGTTAGCTAGCCTACACTTGAACATCAATAACTTGCTGTTTTAGCATTGAGAAATATTTGTTCTACTTGAGAACTTCTCTAATGTATTATACTAAATACCTTCTGATTTATTTCTTAACTTTCTTTATTTCTGCATGGGTCAGCTTTTTGTTCTACATTACTCTACTAACCTTCCATCACTGATAATTGCATAACCGGAGAATTTAACCCCAAGTATCTTGATTTGGGAGAGGCTTTGCTTGAATTACATAGCAATTTCTATGGCAGTTCTGCTTTACAATTGGTATTATTCCCATGATTCTTTTAAATTACAATACTAAGTGTCCTCAGTTCACCAGAAGGCTTTGCATGCTCTGAAGGGGTGGGGTCTTTTGCTTGTATGTGTTAATTTTCTGTGTCTGAGCTGACTGTCAGAGGTGAAACAAAGACTCGAGATAAAAAGAAACAAAGACTCGAGATAAAAACAACTTTTTCCCCCATAGAAGAAAAGTGACATCAAACGAATTTTACAGAGAGAATAATATACATGAATGAAAAGATATTTGAATCAAAGTGCAGCTTTGTATGGAAACACTTCCACGTTTCTGTGGAAATGAGAGGAACTGTATTGCAAGAGGTCTCCCTCCCAAGTTAACCACTTCAGTTGTAGTGGATGAAGTATTTGTGACAGAAGTAAAATAGGAATCAAGCTGGACTTAATCTGTGTCTTTCTCGGGTTCAGATTGCCCGTGTAGGAGATAACAAAGAGCAAACTCTGAACCTTCTTCTTTTTTTTTTTAAGAAAAATTGTCAAGTCTAGCTTCTTGCTGTGTTACAAATGTACCTGTCTGTTTATTAACAATTTTTGTCCTAAGGAGCCTTTATTCCTGACTCTTCTGCTGGTTAAGTACATTTGCTGTTAAAGCAGTTGGTTACATTGAAAAGAAGTAGCAACATCTCAAGAATACCAAAAGTGATATGCTGAAGAAGCACTTGTTTGAGTCCAGATGGGAAACTGCTACTCTGTAGCAGCCTGAGAAGACAGTCAGGAAAAATAGTTTTGGTGGTGCCTTACAGAGGTTTTAAATCTTAAGGGGCATGTCAGGAAAAGATCCATGATGAAGTACCCTTCCTTATCACAGGTGCTACCCATGCAGAGCTCCTCCATGTTAGATGTAGATAAGAGCTTGACTAAGGGAAAACTCAGTTCTGTGAGAAAGTTTGGGTGGTTGTTTATTTGTTTTTTTGCCCCTGTTGTCAGGGGCAGAAGCATCTCTGGAAGATGCGGATCACAACCCTCAGTTTCAATCTTATTGTACTTTTTTCTGATTCTTAAAAAACCCAACTGATTAGCAGTGACTTCAGATGTAACTCCCCAAGTCCGTCAACTTCAAGGTGATATTGTGGCCATGACCCTTTGTGTGTGCAGTTTGTCAACAGAACTCAATAGCAGAGAACACTACCCTCTTCATCCAAGCACATCCCCGTTCTACACTGTTCAATACATAGTATTTTATCTATAGCTCTTGAAATCTGAAGCAATTTTATGGATCACAACATAAAATAGTCCGCTTCAGGCATCTAAGCTTATCATGACCTGTTAAATTCTTATTAACCTTCTGATTCAGACTTGACTCTTTTTCTCCAGTTTGTTGTATGAAAGTGTTCATATCTAAAGACATCCTTGGAAAATGTGTACTTTAAGCTGGCTCTTTCATGGTCACATACCACCAATATGGATTTTTGTCTTCTGCAGTGTGTTGAAGAAGTGTATTGTGGACCGTTGTACTGCAAAAGTAGCATACAAAAAGTACTGAGTTTTAATATTGAAAATCTTACACTCCTTACAGTGAACCGCAAGCCATGTGCTATATTGAAACAGCTAATCTTGACGGGGAGACAAATCTTAAAATACGACAGGTAAAACAAACTGAATTTCACCTTTTTTTTTTCCCCATTTAGATGTCTAGTATTAGCTACAAAGCAGAGTCTAGCTTGCATGACAACAACACAAGTACTGTTTTTTAAAGAAAATAAAGCATATCTCTTTCCAGGTGACTGTAAGGTACTTTTTCAACAGATAAAAACCTAAGCAATAATGCTTCATGTGCAAGTGTAAGGAACTAATCTGGAGGAAGCCCACAAAGGCAAATAAAGCAGACCTTGGCAGTGTTTTGCTGAAAGTCCAGTAAGTGGAACTGGAAATGGTATATTAAAAAAAATAAATTAAAAAATCAGCTGTGCTTGTGATGAGTTGCAGTTTTTGCTGTCACAAGTGCCAGTCTGTCTGCTTCTGCCTCTCGAGTGCTGAAAAGGACCTTTTATATGTTTAAAAGAATTTGTTCTCTCTTTGTGGTTAGTAGAATTTATTTGGATCTTTCTAGTTTTGTTGAAGAAATACTGTTAATTATGATGTTTAGAAATAGTTTAGAATACTTGCCTCCTTTCATTACAAAAAAATGAATTTGGATTAGGATTTTGACATGCAGATTATTTGTTTTTAAGAAGCTGTACATTAGCTGCTTGTTTACTACCGTTGTAGAAATGTGATTTACTGTTGGATCAGCCCAATAGATCAGATCTTGAGTTCCTGTCAGCTTTTGCTTGCTTCAGAACACTTGCTTAAAACACACAAATAAGGTTGTGGAGACTTTTAAGGTCTTATTCTGGCTTGCAGTGCTGCAGTCAAAATCTGGCAAAAGAAACACTAAATGGATCACTCTTAAAGTGGAGGTGTTCATAGATGAAAAGCAATTGTGTTGCATGTGCACTGTGAGATGGAGTAGCAATGCACTAGAGTTGCATGATGGGTTGATAATTAACCTTGTGTAGGATCAGAGCATAATGGCTGCAGTGACCCAAGAGAGACCACACTTAGGAGTGACTATATTTAGCAGCAGTAACACATCAGCAGAGATATACTTTGAGAGAGAAGCTAGGCCTGTTTGTACTGCTTGTCTCCTACTTCCTTCCTCCTGCACATGTGCAACTTTGTGCTTTATGGATGGGACTTTCCTCTTGGTTACAGAGAGATCATATAGGTAATATAACTCTCTTGTGTAGAGGGATTTAAACCAATCCTATATAAGCAGGTTCATATGTGTCCGTAATGAATCTTCCTTGCAGGGTAAGGTTATTGAATACCTGTCTAAAAACAAACAAACAAAACAAAAAGCTGCCAACAAATCCAACAGAAAACCCCCACATGTTTAATTACATTTGATATCTTAGATGTTGGCAGAACACACCATTTTTTGAGGTTGCCTTCTAATAAAAATTTTTTATAAGAGTCTATTTTGGGTTGATTTCTGCAGGGATTGTCTCAAACTGCTAGTCTCCAGTCAAGAGAAGAATTGATGAAAGTATCTGGAAGGATAGAATGTGAAGGACCCAACCGTCATCTTTACGACTTCACTGGAAACTTGCGCTTAGATGGTCAAAGGTATTGACTTGACAACAAAGCCATAAATTCATTTGGTTAGGAAAAAAGCTTCCTGTGTGCTTTTAGTCTGCAACACTGAGTACGTGGATGTTTTTGCTTGGAAGGAGGAGGGTAATAACAGTTGTTAGTCAGAGCATCTGACAGTATAAGATAACATAGTTCTGTCTTCCTATGGAGTCTTCTGCTTGTTGTGGGAGAGTTAATTTCTTTGGAATTGTAGTAGCCTTTTTTCAAAAGTAACATCTAAAGAGAAGGAAGAGTGGGGGAAATGATTGGGGTTTTTAGGGCCTTCTTGTTACAGGAGTTACACAGAAGAAATGGGAAACCGTTCTCTTTCAACTAGAGCCAAAGGCTGCACCAAGTGCAGAGCTATACAGAAAAATGATCCCAGAATCAGCAGTGTTTATCAGTGTGACTTTGATCTGTTGCAACTCCTGAAAGAAAAAACTTGGGTTTAGTACTTGAATTCATAGAACTTGACAGGTTGTTAGGAACACACAGGTTTCATCTGGCTGTACCTGTTTCCTGCACAAAAACTGTATTCCTTGGGCAACGCAGCTGAATTGTGGCAGATGCAAGAATAGTAGATCACCACTGGCATCCCACTTGAAAATCACACAGGTAGTACAGTTTTCCCTAGATGCTTGTTTAGTGGCATATGGGAGGTTATAGTGTGCTTGGAATGAATGGTGTCTTTGCAGGCGTGATGCTTCTCTGTCCTTAATGTGAGAGAGAACGTATTAGCCGAGGTGAAGTGCAGAGTAGGCTTATGGCTACCACATAAGTGCTCAAGTTTTGGGTAACTAGAACAGCTCCCTTGTATCACCTTCACCCTACTGTGCTTTAGTAGGGAGTAGACTTGCACAGGTTTCAGTGGTCTCGAGTTGTGTGGACAATGTAAGTTCATTATATTGCTTTCCTCCTTTTGTGGTTTGTTGTTTTGGGTTTTTTTTGAGGGGTGAGTAAGGCTGAAAGGAAAGCTACTTTACTAAAGCGTTATCAAGAATTGAGATACATATGTATATTTTTTGCTTTGCAGCCCAGTTCCTGTAGGTCCAGACCAGATCTTGCTAAGAGGTGCACAACTGAGAAACACTCAGTGGGTCTTGGGTATTGTTGTGTATACAGGACATGATACAAAACTCATGCAGGTAAAGTTTTTAAGGAGGTCTAGAGCATGTTCTGATAAAGCTGGTCATTTTTCCTGTATTCTACTTATCTTTTGGATTTGAGTTTATGAAATAGTTTGATTCATTGTAGCTGTTTTAGACCTGAAGGCTTTGAGGAATGTAAGGATACTGTTGTACTTGAGATTGCATGTGCCCATGTGTAAATACTTATTGAGGTATTTTTCTCAAAACACTCCAATGTGTAAGTAAAACTAACTGTATTTTAACTTAATTTATCTGGTGGCTGGGCAAAACTTAAAACTGAGGTTTAACAGCTGAGGAGATAGTAATGACCACCTACAACTTAAGCACTTGGAGATAATTAGGTTAAGACTGCAGTTTCTGTATTGCCTGAATGGCAGGGAGTGCCTGGAGAGGCCGGCAACGTGTATGTTTTTCTCACTTTTGCTCTCATTGGGATGGGTAGCCAGGAGATGAGCATACTAGGTCTTTAAAACTCTGTTCTCCTATCAGTTTTGGAGTCATTAGAAGTATTGGCTGCTATTACTACATTGAGCTTTGTATACCATGTTGAGCTAAATAGAGTTGAAGTAGCAAGTTCTATAATGGACTCTAAAACGAAAGACTGAGTTTGCCTCTGCAATTTTCTCTTGTATAAGCCATTGCTAGACATTTTTTTTTTTCTGCTGCTGTTCAGAATTCAACCAAAGCGCCTCTGAAGAGATCAAATGTGGAGAAAGTGACCAACATGCAGATCCTGGTTTTGTTCTGTATTCTCCTGGTGATGGCCCTTGTGAGTTCTGTAGGTGCCTTATTATGGAACAGAACACATGGCGAAGTTGTCTGGTACCTTGGCTCCAACAGTGAGTATGCAGGCAGTGTACTAGGGATGTATCAGACTGTAGGGCCAGCCATGCCCTTAGCTTTGCTAAATGAGTGAATAAAACAAGAAACAAAGCCTGTTGCTTTTTGGTAGCCCAATTTTTTTTAAAAAATTTTTTTTTTGAGAATGGGCTCGCAAAGTTGAACTTGCCAGGGAGGCTTCTGTTAATAAAACCTTCTAAAGGTTAGGTAAATATCACAGGGCTACCATCCAGGGAGCAGGGTGGAAACAGAAGAGGGGCAAGAGTTATTCTTGGATATTTGGTGCTCTTTCAGCTCTGTGGAGATACCATGCATGAATTTGTTTTCAGAGCAGGTTGTGTACTGCTGCCTTACATATCATGTCTTGACTGTACCTGACTGCAGGATAGCAGGTATTAGTTTGATGCTGACTTCAACTTTACCTTCATGTACAGAAGCAAAGGATTTCTTGAGCTGTTTTTCAGTCAGAAATGTTGATCTGCTCTTGTAGAGAAAACTGTGAAATGCTAAATGTTATGACTTTGTGTTTATTGGATAAAGTTTCAGTCTTTGGCTTCTGACTTCTGTTATTTTTAATGAGAAAACTGATCTCTTAGTATGCTTATTAAAGGGTTTTATTTGATTTCATTCATACTCCTTGAATTTATTAGTTCAGGTATCTAAGATGGGTCTTATGCAAACACTTAAGGATGAAGTAAATTGCTCTCCAGTAGACTTCTGACTTGAGGGGGTTACATTAGTTAGCTATAAAACGTGTTGTTGCAAACATCTTGAGATGCAGATCTGAAAACGATTCTCTCAAACTGCAAATGGTCTTTCTGTTGGTGATCGCAAAACAGATGGCAAAGGGTGTCTTCTGCAGTTAAAGAACTGCAATTGTGATAGTAATGAAAAAAATTCCCGCAGGAAGAGCGTGGAAGCGCTTTATTGACGCTTATTTTTTGGTAGTTGTAATGTCTTCTAGTATCAGTAACTTTCAAAGTTTCTTCCCTACCCTGCCCCTTGCTTTTTAACGAGGAAGCTTAAATTGGTGTCTTCCAATGATGGAAGTAATATTGGAAAAGATGAATGGAACAAACTCTTGAACTTGTGCTAATATAAAACAGGTGCAACATGTAATAAATGAGGATGATACAGTAGTCTGTGTAGATGCTTTTTTGTAAATTGAACACAAAATTTCTGTCACTTCCGTTAACTGCCACACATGGGAAAGACACTTTTTCAGGCTAGGCAGGTAGATGTTAAATTTTTGTTAAATGTCTAATTTCTATAAAGATTGTATTGGAAACACCTTTTCCAATATCAAGTGTGCTTCTATTCTTTCTGTAAACTGATCAAAGATACGGAATTAATGTGTGCCCAAACTTGGAGGTGCTTGGGTGTTACGGAGGTGTTTTGTTTCCTCTTGGACGGGGCCTACTGCCACACAGGGTCAAAACTTCAAGTCTTGCTCTGATCTTCATTAGGCTTCAGCAACTTTCTCTGGCTTTTTCTCTCTTCCTACTTTGTTCCCCTGCCTTCTTACTATTTATTTGTAATGCCAAAAACCCCATAGTTGTGGGCTGTGACTCCATTGTGCTGGGTGCTGTGCATGCTGACTGAAGTGTCTCCCTAAGCTTTGAGGCAAGTGAACAGACACAAGCGGAGACTTTGGATGTGAAGAGAGGCTGTGGGCAGCACCACGAACAGGAGCCTTCATCCCATGTCTCTGCTGAGGCTTGTCCATTCCTGCCTGCTGTCTGTAAATGCTTCCCCTTCTCTTTAGGACCAGTTGTGCTGGCAGATTTACTTGGATAACTTGTCCATTGTCACCATTAATAATAGCTCTTCTGCTTAAGCAGGATGCCTTAGTTCATTTACTAGGTGCTTGTTTAACAGTCAACTTGTTCTCTTAGATTTCTTTAGTGTGAGTTAACTTCTCAATTCTGCCAGTACTGGCAGTTTTTACAACAAATTTTAGTCTTCATTTTTTGTTTTCTAACTCCCCTGAGACAAGTAGGCACTTTCTGAAAGGTAAAGTTATGTTACTAGTGATATTGGTGGCTCTTAATTGGGGCAGTTGACACATCAGATAAATCTCTAAATTTGGGTTATAATGTGGAATATCATACTTCTCACCATCTGTTTAGCAAAAATTGTTCAGAAAGTGTTCTGTTCTCGAATATATAGCCTTGCCAATCTTGCCCTTCTTCACCTGGCATAATATGCTGTGTATCCAGGCATGTGTTCTGTGGGTGTTTTATATATGTACTATTAAAATCAATATTAAAAAGGCCCTTATACTAGGCCTCAACACGCTTTGTGATTATTTTAGCACTACTAAATCTGATTAGGCCACCTGCAGAAAGATGATTGGCCCTATACTGTACTGCTCAGACTTCTGCCTGCTGTCTGCTGATGGCTTTATGTCTTTCGGTCCACAGAAATGCTGTCTGTCAACTTTGGATACAATCTGCTGACATTTATAATCTTGTACAACAACCTTATTCCAATCAGTCTTCTGGTGACATTGGAAGTTGTCAAGTTTACTCAGGCTCTTTTTATAAATTGGGTAAGTAACAAGAATAAATGTGTTAATGTCAGTTTTGGAAAGTGACATTAAAAAAAAAACAAAAAAAAAACCCCAAACAAACCACCCTGAAGTCTTTACCAGATTTTCTGATTAATTTTCTGATGCAGCTTCTGGGAAAGGCAGGGAGAAGTTCAGAGGATTTATTCTGTATTAATTCTGTGTTCCGCAGGAAATTAAAAAATTTAGTTCTTGGAAGATCCCTTGTGCAAATGATCACTCTTGTATATTTTAGGCTTTCAGGATGAGAAGGAAGGCTCAGCTCTTTTGGTTGAAGGAGATCTCTCAGCTGACTTATGTTCAGTAAATATCTTTTGTAAACTCTCCAGTACTTCATAGCTTCTCTGTCAGCCACAACAGAGGGAACGACTAGACTACTTTGGGGCTGTGGGCTTTTGGGGGGGTCTGGTGTGGGTTTTTTTTTTTTTTTTTTTTGTTAAATCCTGAGGCTGGCCTCAAGGTCACCTCTGGTATGAATTGTAGTATTTCTGTAAGGAGATGAGTTGGTGGTGCCTCATGCAACAGAACAGTGATCCTTCTGTTCAGGCAAGCTTTGACTTCAAAGTGTGTTTCTCTTTAGTTGTACACCAAAAATACTGTAGTGATGTCTCAAGCTGAACAAATGCAAGAGGAACACCTTGTCTTCGTATGCATTAGTCCTTGGACTTTTGGTGAAGTTGTAGTGGTTCCTCTAAAACACAAATAAATAAGGTCTAATGTGTCTGTTTTCTGAGCTGCTTACAATGTATTGGAGAGTCTTAGCTTATCTGAGAAACTGCTTTTGTTCATATAGCAGCTGTGTTTTGTTTACTCTCCCGATTAAATCTAGGAATAGGAGGAGTTGATTTCAGGGTCACTTAAATTGTCTCTTCAGTCATGGCTGTGGCTAGAGTTAATTGTGCTGTTGTGACTGAAGACCTATGATTAGCATGGCTAATGCCTATTAGAACTTCTTCCTACTGTACTGAATTCTTGAACTAGAGATGAAATGAAGAAAATTATAATTACCTATAATTAAATCTGGCTTTTCTCATGTACATGTAGTATGGAGGTATACTTTGGAAGGGAGGCACGCCTGTTCAGCCTGGGATGCTATGTGTCTCTCAAGCCTTCAGAACCCCCACCAATGGAGTTAAGTTAATCAAGCCAAGCTGGAGCTGACTAAAAGAAGACTGGAGACTTCAGTGTTTAATTTGCATAGCATAGGTCTACTTTTTCTCTCATTTCAGGACATAGATATGTATTATCCTGAAACGGATACACCTGCAATGGCCAGAACCTCAAACCTTAATGAGGAACTTGGGCAGGTAAGACAACATGTTCTTAAGTGTCATGTTTGTGAGATGTTCTGGGAGGATAGAAGGTATGAGAGCATGCTGTACAAAACTGCTTTATTCTGTTGCTTGGTGTCTTGGGTTAATGTGACAGCATTACTTTCATTAGTCCAAGTATTACAAGTAAATAATGAGAGATCACAGGATTAAATATGAGGTCGTAGTTTTAAGTCTGCAAATTGAATCTTTATTTCTTACGTTATCTCTAAACTGACCTTTTCCTCAAGGGTGTTGGAGAGATGCTATGTGGTTGTGATTCTCTATACCAGAGCAGAATGTACAAGAGTAAGTTTGGCTGAAGAGCAGGCCAACAGCCTCAGCCTGTGTTCTTAGTTCTTCATATTTCTGACCACCTCACAGGAAATGCAAGTCAAAAATGCAGTTCTATTCCTAATTTAGATTGTGTTCCTTCAAGCATTTCCATTTGCCTTTTAAGTAAAGGCAACTGTATATTAACTTGTAGTTGTTATAAGAGATTAGTTATAAATTCTGCAAATGAGTTTTTTCAAAATGGAAGGGCTTCCCAAAACAAGGTTACTGGAAAACACAACTTTGTCATTGGAATTTTGTAGTACCATTGAGAAATCCTAGGTTTTTTTCCTTGACCACCAGTCATAAGTATGTAACTCAACCACATGAACTTCATAATTTGTGTGAATTTAGTGTTGGTGACAATGTTTATGTATGTAAAAGAAATAATTACTATGTGCTGCTCAGCAGGGTGGTAGTCAATATTTTTTCTGCTTAATCTGATTGGCCTTTTCCTTAGGACTGTTAAAAATTGATTTGTAGTTAGATTGCTTTGATGTGAAGTTATCAACCTCCAGATTATGGTAGTGTTTTTGTCCGAAGTAAACTATATTATGTGGCATAATGTATATTGTTGGCCAATATGTTGTTTTCAGAAATGACTTACTAGTGATTCCATGTAACTAGGCTGAATTTTTGGATTCATTAATTGAATTACTTGTTTACAGGTGCATCTTAAATTTTTGTTATATGCTAGAATTATTAATGACTTGAAGTTCCTCAGATATTTGGGTACCCACTTTGACTTCTAACTTACGCAGGCTCCATTTCCAATGCTGTATTCAGCAGCAGTCTAGTGCACAGCTAAAGGATCCCTTGACTGATAGCGTAGTACACTCTCTTGAACTGAATTGCAAATATTGAGGAAAAGCTTTTTGCAACTCTAGACAAAATATGCTGGTCTTTAAATTGGCTAGCTCCTATGTTAGCACCATCCCTTCCCACCTGTTGCTGGCTTAAAATCTTACCTAGTGCAGAGGTGAAACAGTGTGGAATTGAGCTTGCAATTAAGTTTAGTCTGTTGTGACCTGCTGAAGGTGGGAATCTTGCTCCAAGAAGTTGTGTTGCTGTGTTGGCATTGTCTCCAAGTTGTAGCTAAAAGTCATTTGTTTACATTAAGGGATTATTAGCTTGGGCAGTGCTGACTGGCTATGTGTCTTGCACTTCAGGACTGCTCATGACTGGATGCCAGAATAACGCAGCTTATGTTTGCCTGCAGAATACCACTTCGGCTTACTCTAGGATATTTCTTGCACAGGACTGTTTGGGGGAGGGGGGAAACAAACCAAAAAAAAACCCCCAGACAAATTCCTGGTGATTTTTGGAACATAGAATTTCTTCAGTGTGTTAAATTCTAATGATTCAACAATCTTAAGACTCTTTGTTTTAATTTCTAGTCTTCCTGTTTGATGTTAGTACAGTTGAAAGATTTGGTGAATGTTAACATAGCACAAGCAAGTACATCTGTGCTGACCACACTGGAGCCTTGGCAATTGATACCTACTATTTGAGCCTTTCTGCATTTAGAGATAAAGAAGAAATAATGCCATTAAGTGACTTTACTGATTATTTTCCTGTAGCTTTGGTAAGACAAACCAAGCTGTAATAAGCCTGCATTGGCCAATACTGTGACATTTGAGCCATATGTCTCCCAGAATTTTCCTTATTCCTAATCTGTTTTCCACTTTTGAGTTTTGTGACTTTGCAAGTTGAAAATTAGACTTTTTTTTTGTCTTCCAGGTAAAATACCTGTTTTCTGATAAAACAGGTACTCTAACATGCAATATCATGAACTTTAAGAAATGTAGTATTGCTGGAGTGACATATGGGTAGGTATGACTTTTTTAGAAACTCTGTAGTTTAATCTGTGCTTATTAATGGTACATTTATATCAGAACAGGATTACAACATTCTGTTCTTCAATTTGTATTTTAGTATACTTTGTGGTCTCAGTTAATAGCTTTCATTTTCATGTCCTGCAACACAAATTACGAAATGGAAACCTGGGGAGTACTTTACATGTAGTAAAGAAAACTTGCTTCCTAACTTATCTGATTTAAACTAAACCAGAAGTGTTAAATAACCTCTGTCCTTTCCAGAGGGAAGAAGATGCAGCCCAAGGGTAGTCATGTCAAACATGTCAGTCATGTTTCTTTGACTTCTTCAGATGAACCAGCATTTCATTACAACCATGTAGCTGTAATTGTAGTTGTAAAGTTAAAGATTCGTTGCATGGGAGGGAATACCCCCTTACTGGTTTTGTTCTGTTTCTGTCAAAAGGATCCCTTTCAGTTATGCCAGTATTTTGTAGCACTTGGCCTTTTGAGTCTTGAATACTAAATCTTTGTTTCTGCTTAGTTTTAAATGGGTAGTCTTAAGATCTCTGTGCAAGTTAGCTACCATGAAATTCAAAGGTTAAATTAGTTACATCAAAAGGCAGAAAACTGAGTTCAAATTTCTGAACAGCTGAACCCATGGTTACAGCATATGTTTGTATGTGTGATGACTCATTGATCTTCACCTTCTACCTATTTTTTTGGCTTGGGAAGTGGAATAAATGTGGTGGTTTGGTTTTTGTTTTTTTTTCCTTTTTCTACTCCTCAGTCACTTTCCTGAACTGGAAAGAGAACGTTCATCAGAAGACTTCAGGTAAATATATTCTAAGATGTTTGTGTTCTGTATAGCAGAGTGGGGACAATTTATATAAAGACTTCTTTCCAATTTGGAACTGGAAGAAGCTCAAGGGAGCAATGTGTTTGAGTAAAATGTTCTTCCAGCAGGAGCCTAATGCAGAGCTGGTGGGTGGTGATGGATCTTCTCTTCTGCATAGAGATGGTGGGTGAGGAATAGGCAGTGGCTGGGGTGGCTTGGATGCATGCTAATGCAGTGCTTATTTATAATTGCAGACAACCAAGTTGGAAGCTAAGAGTAACCTTTACAGTAACCTTACCTTTAGCTAGAGACTGAATGTTGATCTTTGCAATCACTAAGTTCAAAACTGACAAGGAAAAGAAAAGGAACTTCTTTATTAAAATGCTATGTTTTAATAATGAAACCGGGAAGGGGCTTGATTTGGAGGTGTCGCATGTCAAGAGGACAACTCCTTTTTATTCAGAGATTTAATGAGTAGAGGTGATGGGTCTGTCCCATTCCACAAAAAGGAGTGGAAACCCAGAAGTGTTACGCAGGTGTCACTGTAGCATGTTCAGATTAACAGGAAGGGGGAAAGAGCCAGAGAGGGCTGATGTGGCTTTGGCAAATACAGTGAAGTGAGTTCCCAGCCAAGGAACAGGTAGACACTGCTGTTGGCCACCTTCTGATGAACTAAGTCAGGCTTTTCCACTGGTCCATCTCATTGTTATGGTCACCTTTTGGGAAGGTGATATGATATGATTGTATGTTGCCACTTTGGCTGAGATGTGATTTCTACAGATGCCTCTCTTTCGGTATGTTGCTGTTTCCTTCATTGCCATCTTTTCTCTCCTTGTACGCTTCTTTTCTAGTCAGTTCTGTGGAGGAGTTTAAAATTCTGTGGAGGAGCTTAAAGTTCTCCAGGTATTAACTTGAAGCAGAACTCTCTGACTAGAGAGGGAGCTTGGGGATATTGATCTTTGACCTATCTTAAAAGCAAGTCACCTTGAAATCAATTACAAGCTGCTTCTCAATCTGTCCTAGGAAGTGTGTTGACACTTGAATCTTCTCAAATACGCTTTCAAGTGTAACCATTTTGGGTTTCTTGCTGGTGTTCTGAAGAAATTATTGCTCATTTTCAGCACTTTGTGCATTACTCATATGATCTTTTCACAATACTTTCAAGGACAGTGGAATCCTACTTTGTCTTTCCTTTGCTTCCCAACAAAATGGATGTAGTAGTAAGACTGGAAATGTTGCCACTGTTATGTTTTAATATGCTTGTCTTGCTCTGCAGCCAGCTACCTCCTTCCACTAGTGAATCGTGTGAATTCGATGACCCAAGACTGCTGCAAAACATTGAAAATGACCATGTGAGTCTACTCTTTGAATATCATGTCTCTTAAACGCCCTGTTCTAGGCCTCTCTGGAGTTGAATGCTAAACAAGTCTAGTTGAGTGATCAAGTTTGCTCTATGGGTGTCATGCAAGCACAGAGTGCAGAAAAAGAAAACAGGAGAGCTCCCCCAACCCCATTCTGCCCACTTGTTTCTTTAATTCAGTAGTAAGACAATGGCATTGCTATGGGCAACAGCTAGCTATAAAATAGCTTCATATATGCTAGTGTGTATGGAAGATAGTGTCTTCTAGCAAATGATGGTAGAAATTGTAATTCTTCAAAAGAAAAAAATACTTGGAGTATTCAAACATACTTACAGTTAAAATACTGTTTTTAACAGTAATCCAGAGCATTGTAAGGAGGTTCTAGGGTGGAGATGCTTTAAATACTTGTAGATGTTGGGAATTCCAGTTACATAAAGGATGTAAGAGATGGGACTTAATTGCAACCTTAAGCTTAGCCTGAGACTGAGTGATTAGAAAACTTAGCCTAGCCAGTTGTGTCATGAAGGGATCTAGTCCTTAGAAGAGTGTCAGTTCATTGCTTATTCAGAAGCCCTGCAGCTATGAAGTGTCTGACTGGACATCAGACAATTTAAATCACTTGCAAAAAACACGACCCTTCTATTCTGCAGAAGCTGTTTTACAGTAGGGGATCTGGGCATTGGCAAGCACAAACTCAAATGACAAACTCAACTAGCTGATTGCTCTCCTTAGTGTGACTTCTGTAACTGGGCTGGTTAAGTTTAGTATGAGCATCTAAAATGTCGTTATAACATACTGATTTTGTGCAGCAAAGCTTTACTTTCTGTTTTGCTTTACAGTACTTAAGAAGTTGAAATGCAGCATGGTGTAAATGCCTGAAGGAATATTTAATTACTTTGGATGTCACTACGTATTCCTTGGGGTGATAGAGCCTAAAGGTGTCTCCTGTGCTCTAACCTTCAGGATGGTGCCCCTGCCACAACAGCATACTGGTTTCCTGTGTGGCTTTTGTAATCGTCTGTACTGGAAGAACTTCCCACTGCACATCACTTGCAGTTGGGTTGCTTCCTGTTCTTTTGTGTTCTGTTTGTTTGTATATGGCTACAGTTATGGTTTATGGCAGTTGCTGACTCCAGGTACTCCTTCTTTTGAATGGGAGGCTACTGGTTTAGGTGCAGGCTACAGGTAAAGTGTGTTTGAGTTCTTCCTCACTGGCTGTTGCTTTAGGCATCTATACAGGAAAGTGCTTTGTTAGACTTTAATAGACTCAGCAGAAATGACATGTATCAAATGGTCTGTGAGATGGAGTTTCTCATCTAGCCTTGAGATGGCTCTTCAACTTTGGGATATCTCTAATTCTTTGATCTTCTCTGGGTAGAGCTTCCACTTTGGGAGATAGAATATTTGCTGTTGTAGCAGGCAAATAAAGGATTTTGGTAGCTTCCTTAGGTGTCGCTTAGTCTACACAGCTCAGATACATAAATGTTCAGCATGCAAATGTTCTATCTAGTTTCTTTTTGGCTGGCAACTTGAACAGGTAAATACTGTTGTCATTGCACAGCTGACTAGGGCTGAGCACACTGTGAACTCAGCCCTCGGAGAATCAGTGGGGAAACTTCTGGCTGATGAAACTTAAGGTGTACCTTGTGTAGGCCAAAGATATCTTTTGGAGCCTGACTGCTGGAGAGATGGATGCCACCCACTGACAAGTGGTGTGTTTAGCACAAGACACAAGAATGCAAGGACTACATGTGACAGTTTGCTTAGGAAGTTAAGATCCATTTGTCAAACTGCATCAGTAGGATGAGGGCTGGATTCCAGGATAGTGGGAGAGCGAAGTCGTGTGTTTCTAGCCCACTAGCTTTTTGCATGAGGTCGGCTGTTAAGGTGCACAAACTGCTTCCTTGTACTTCAAGCTCCTTAGTGTCTTTGTTTTCACAGCTAGTAGAGAGCTGTGAATGCTGTTTACAGATGCCTGACAGTCTTTACTCATTTAGTGAACTAGGTGTTAAAACCAAAGTGTTGTAGAACAAGCTGCCTTGTGGGGTCAGGTGGTGCTGTACTCAGCTGGGCAATGAATTCCCTTTAAACATTTGCCTTTTGCATCTGCAGTTGTCGATGTGCCATCTCTCACAAACACTCAGTAAGTGCTCATTGCTCTGGTCTTGAAGATTTTATTTTTTTCAGTCCAGTCGCAAGTGTTAGTTTAGAGCTGTCTCAGTGCCAAGTAACTTTTTTCCAGGTTGAAAACAAAGAATACTGTACTTGTCCTCATGAGACTGTCTTCCATCTGCTAGGAAGGTTTTTAGCATCCTGCATTGCCTCTAAATTTCATAGCTCTTCTGGGTCACTGGTATGTATGGAGTGACTGGTGGCCAAGTCCACTCTTGAGTAACAGTCAAAGACTTATTGCCTTGCAGGAAGTGTTCCAAGGAAAAATAACTTGTCTTGAAAACATGGGGAGCTATTGTTTAGCTTCTCTGGGATTTTAATGTGGAATAAAGTACCTAGGTTTGTCTGCCTATGCTTTTTCTTTGTAACAGCTTCTGTTGGATGAATGGTGCAGCAGTGCCAAGAGTATGATGCTGACTTGTTTCTATAAGGAAAACAGTATAAACTCTTATTAGAATAAGAAAAGATCAGTTATTTCCAAAAACTTAAAAGAAAGTTTGGCAAATATGCTACATGGTCTTTATCTTGGTGGTTGTGAGTTGCACATGTGCTGTGAATAAACTCACCATGGGGATGCAAGCCTGTTTGGTGTGGGCTTATTTTTTACCCTGATGATATGAGTGCAGGGAAGTAGGTCAAGAAGCAAAAGAACTAAAACTTGGATCTCATCCTAGACTTCTCTATTATCTCCCTGGATTCTCACTGAACTTTTTCCACTAATTCCTATCTGTATATCAACTCTGTTCTGTGGCCCACAAATTACTTCTTGGGCAAGAAGCAGCAGGCACGTTGTATAGCTGCAGATGCATGAGTTGATGTAGTGAGTATGTGTGATGAGTAGTTAAGCATCTGGTCAGGCAGAACAGATAACTGTTGTGCTCATGTTGAACCTTTACTGCAATGAAAGTGTTCAGTTACGTCTCCAGCATGTCTGCTTTTTTTATGAAGTGTGTGGGAACTGAGGCTTTTATCCCATCAAGCTTTGAAATGACCACTATAATCAGCTGATTTTTAATTCCTTAAGAAAGCAGAACAAGAAAAACATATCACTGCTGGTATGAAAAACTGGAATTTAAAATACAGTAGGGGAAAATACATTCAGGTGGTGAGAACCTCTGGGAGGCTTTGGTTCAGAAAGTAACTGTTGCCTGAAAACTGTCAAAACATACTGTTTTATAGCTGACAATTAAATTGTTATAGCTTGGTGAGAAACATCTTTCACACTTCTGCTTTTGCCCTTAATTGTGCATGGGACTTTGGTACTTTAATTTTGCTCAAGTCCAAGGCAGTATCTTTAATTATAGATCATATTTCAGTGGCTTTGGACAAGATAAACTTGCATTTAACTTGGTTGATTCTCAAACACTGGTTAATGTTTTCTTTGAGTCTGTGCCTAAAATATCCTGATCCCCTCCAGCCTTACCAGCTCCATTATTCTAGACATGTCCAATATGGACCGATCCTCACATTGTTTTCCAGGTATTTGAATGAACAAAACAGTAGGAACTTCACATTTCTGAGATGGTGAATCATAATTCTCCCTGTTAATGAAGTAGATGAGTATTCTACTAGCTGTCCTTGGCAGAATGTGCCATATTCATGTAAAATAGTAAGCTCAAGCTGTTAATGTGCCTTAATAGCCCATTGGCCATTTTTAGGCCATTTGGTCAAAAAAACTTGTCAGTCCTGCTCATCTGGAAATACTCTATTTAGAGGCACTGATCTGATACTGCTACAAGTGAAAGGAGAGATGAATAAATATCTTTAACTTCACATGCAACTTCCTTGTAATTTTATCAGACTGTGACCAGTTGGCTAGAATAATGCAGTTTCTGTCTTTGGAGTGAGGAGGCCCAGATAAGGACATGCATGACAAACGTGCAGATACGTAGCTCTGCAGAATGCAGCTCGCTCCCTGAAAGACTGAGTTTAGACTCAGTGTTTTGTTCCCTGTGAGTAAGGGAGAACACAAAGGGATGAACACTTGTTATACAGCTTCCTGATCAGTGGTCTGTGCCTTGCTTGATAATAGATAATGTTGTGCCTTCTAGATAGGGAAACTTTGCTTTCAGTCTAGATAATGCTTTGTAGATAACAATTGAGAAACTGCTTCCAGAAATATGAGGCTATGTCTCAGTGTGCCTGTAGTTCTCAGCTTGTTGGGCCAGTGTGCAAAGTAAGTTCAGCCAGTGGGGTTTATTGCTGGTGTGCAGGTGTTGTACACCAGATGTTCCATGGATCTTTGAAGAAGGCAGAGAGAAAGGAGAAGCAATTGCTTTCACCCAGAGCTGTTTGCACGCAGGGAGAAAAAATAGGGGGAGAAGGCATTTAAAATGAGAGCTACCTGTGGACAGATGAACAAGAGACTAAAATATGCCAACTTTGTTCCTGCTACAGATGAATAGAAAAGGAAGAAAATGGGGTGGGAAGAAATAGAGCTGAGCTTATTAAATGAGGAAGCAAGGAATGTCTCACAGAGACCATCAGTAAGAATTGGAGTTCTAAAATGGCAGAGACTTGCTTTAATAGAGGAAAATAAACAATAAAGCAGAATCAGTTAACCTGTGGGACTTCTGTATTATGCTGGGGTTAAACTTGGCATGGTGCAAGGGATGTATTGCCACAGAAGCTATTAATGATATTTCTGTTCACAGTTCTGAAGCAGGAATTTGAATGGCCTATCCTGATTCATGCCAGTGCAACAAATATTTTGTCAGTGCTGGAACAATAAAGAAAGGAAACAAATGACAGCTGTGTGGAGGAGCTGATGTGATAAACTGGGTCTCTGATGATCACTTGCTATAGAATTGGAAGATTGCCATTTTATACATTGTGAGCTGTGAAAATACCAAGATAGCAACAAATTACATTGCTGGCTTGAAAGCAGAAATAAATACATAGGAAGGATTAAAATCTGTGACATTACCGGAGACAGGTTGTTTCCAGCTGATAGAACACGTACTATGAAAGTGTGTAAGGGGCTAGGTGACACAAGTTTAAGGAGGACATCAAAGGTCTGCAGCAATGGATGCTGAAATAAGAATCTGGTAGGCTGTGCATTTTGAGATGGAGATAAAACTTTCATTGCTTTCACTGGAAATAATGGAGCAGCAGTAACTTCCTGACCAGTAATTTGCTGTGGACTTAACATTTCACACACTATTCTCTGATTATATTCCATCTGTTCACTTGCTTGAACACAGCCTCTGCACTCCAGCATGTCAAAAGCTACAACTGTTGTTATTGTAGTGGTGTGTGACCATACAATTCAGAAGTTTCTGTATGCAAAGATAAAGGTCCTGTGTGGAACAGTTATTTTGAAAATATTCATGATAAAGTAACTGAAGTAAAACAAGAAAATAAGTATTGCATCTTTAGTTTCTTTATTACTTTGTTCCTGATATGCTTACTTTTTGTTTGTGTTTAACACATTTGCCAACTGACACTGTTTCATTGCTTTCATAGTAATTCACTTCCTACTAATTAAATCTTGCTATTGCCAGTGCATCCTTCTGCTATTCAAGTACGTAGGCTGTGTGCAACATATTGAAAAAACAAACTCAACAATTTTTGCCCATTCTTGGTCTTGGCCCTGAAACAGGACCTGAGATAGAACGAAACTTTGGTTTTGTTTTTGTCACATAGCTTGGCTTGGGGAGAGAAGCATTGATGTGTCTGAGAGCCAGTTGGGATCGTGCTCATCTTACTGCTAATTGTGAGAAGTTCAATTTGAAGTGCCCCTCTAAGACTGGGAAATGGAGGAATCTTTAATGTCTTGGTAGTTTTGTGTGATTAAAGGGTTTTCTAAAATAACTGTGTACTGCATGTACTTTTAGAAAACATATAATACAAGTCTCTCACAACAGAGGATTTTTGGAGGCATGTATTTTTCACTTGAAAAAGTTTCATTTGAACATTGTAGCCTTTTTTCTGTTGTGAAACATTCTGGTGTACACTAGCAGAATAAATTGTGTAGAAGCATCTTTTAATTAACTGTTTAAAAAAACCCGCAAACTTGGATCCTGTTTTACTAGAATCTTGTAGGATTCTTCATCTGATCTTGTTCTTAATATTACAGTAGTAGGGTTTTGGCCTGACCTTGTGCTAACAGCTCTTGTAATGATCTTGAATTTGTAGTAGCTCTGTTAAGACAGTATATGCAAAATACGCTATGCTAATGAAAACTTTGGAATCTAGATGATATGTTCATATGCAAAAATTTTGTGAGGGTTTGCCAAGTCAGCTAAGGCTTCTGTGAAGGCAGAACTGGGAAGTTTATGTCTGACTCAGTCACTGAGCAAACAACTGCTGTGATGCAAGATACTGATGCTACCAAGTGTGGATGTTAGGAATGCAGCAGAGTTGAACATCTGTTCCCTTCAGTTGTTTCAGCCAAGTGTCTTAAAGATCTGTGTGAACTGTGGATGAATTTAGTATGGCAGGTTGTGAGCTGTGCAGCTGAGTACCATTCCTGACTGCTGTGAGACCAGAAATGCTGTGCCAGAGGCAGGAGTGGAAAGGAGTGAAGAATGGGATGGGGGATTCCATTTCCAGTCGCTATAGCTACATTTGCCACAATTTGCTGATCAGGGGCCTGTGATTTACGTGCCGTAGCACCTTCAGTGAGCTGTAGACCTGGTGTCTCTTCAAGCACTTTGGAATGGCTGGTGACTACGCAGTATGTGCACAATGTTTCATAATATGTGTTCTCGTGATGCTGAATGTGTAGGGACCATTGATCAAATTTCTGCTTGGCTGGATGATGTGTTCCTGTGGAAGAGCACATGATGTTGCCTTCTACTGGCTCATCAGCTGCTGTCAGCTTGGATGTTCATCACTAAGGGTGCAGTTGCAATGAGTTTAATTCTGGTGTGGTTACTGTCAATCTGTTGAAAGCTGTTGTGGAAGCTACCAAAGTAGTATTCCCTGTTGCTTGATTATTATCAGCATCTTGTGGCAGTCATCTTTGCCTGTATAAAGCTTGGGGTGATGCAAAACTAGTGCTTTTATGTTTGGGGGGATGGGGGAATATTCTGGCTTCCCAGCTCTCTGCAACTTAAGTGAGGTCTTTATCATTAGCGCTCTACTTCATTAAAGCTGGCCCTTAACTTTGCTGTATTGATGTTCTGGGACCAAGACAACTACCGTAAATAGAGAACAGAGTATTTTTTTTTTGTCTGTGGTACTGAAGAGGTCTTCTCAAGTTAGTGAACAGCTGCCTCCCAGTCTGTGTGTAATACTAAACCTGACTCTTCTGATGTCCTGTCTAGCCCACAGCTGTGCACATACAGGAGTTCCTCACTCTGCTGGCCGTGTGTCATACTGTTGTTCCTGAGAGACAAGGAAATAAAATAATCTACCAGGCCTCCTCTCCAGGTTGGTCATTGCTTTCTTTTTTGGGAGGGAAGGAGTGAGGGAGTAGGTAGAAGGAAGGTCCAGAAATTTCCATAAAGGTCATGGATTTTGAAAACAAGATGTCCCCCATGATGCTAGCAGTAGATCTGGCATCTGCTGTCATTAGTGCACACTGCTTTTGAATGTCTCCCACAAAATGTCCAAGTCCGTGATGATTCTGCAGAGCTAGGCTGGGCTTATGATCCTTTCTGCTCTCGTGAGACCTTCTACTCTAGCCTTTCTGCAGGGGTGAAAAGCAAAAGTAAAACTTCTAGTGCATAGAGCTGATCTATGGAAGTACTGATTTGTTTCTGCAGGAAGAGTTACTTGCTTTATTTGGCATGAGTGTAAACTGTTTTTCTTGATCTAGTAGATTCCCATCTTGTTCTGTGCAGATACAAGGTGCTGATACATGATACAATACAACCAAGAGCAGAGTCGTGGCCATATTTGGGCCTGCCCTTCACCCATTTCTTCCTTCTTTCAGGTAGCACAGAGGTAGCAAAGGAGGTAGGCAGGCCCAAAATGCAGAACAGCAGGGCCCTGCTCACCATCAAATTTATCTCTGTTACTGAGGATGTTTCTAGAATTGTTGTAGTGATGTATTGAGTGATGGAGGAGTATCGTTTCTGATTTATGTCCTAATAGAGTGCCTGAAGAGCCCATGTAAGGCAGCTCTGGTCACAGTTCATGAGCTGTGAGGAGACAAGGGAGCTTTAGAGACATTAGGGTTGCTTGAGTTGGGCACTAAACGCACCTATATGGTGGCTGTGCTTAATGTTGCTTGCTCCTTAATGAGGCTCTATAACTACCTACTAGAGGTAGAGGTGTTGGCTCTGGTTTCAGCTGGGTTATTTGACCTCTGAATGACACAGCCCAGTTCAGTCCCCAGAAGACAATGCTGGATTTCTATAGCACCTGATCTTAGTGCCTTTACAGCAGGAAAGGGATTAAATGTATGTTTTAGGAATTCAGAATAACATAGCTTTGATCTTGCTTTCAGAACAGCTATTTCCCCCTTTTCTTGTAGAGAAGTATGTTTTGTCCACACCAATAGAGTTTAATGCTTCAATAATTACAGGACGTTTTATACAGGTTGAATATGAAATTTGTGTAGTTGATATTGCATGGCCTTTGTAGGACTAAAATGTGGATGTTCTTCTGGAAGTGTGTGCAGATCTACTCTACAGGTGGCAGAGTACATGGGAAAGGGGGCTTCTGTGTTTTGGCGGTGTGGCAGATTTAAGTATGGGCTTTACAGGCCTCTTCTACACACCAGATTAAACCTAAGCTTTTCTTGTATTGGCAGATGAAGGGGCTTTAGTGAAAGGAGCAAAAAAACTTGGTTATGTCTTCACAGGACGGACTCCACATTCGGTTATTATTGATGCGGTAAGTAGTAAATGCATGTGGCACAGACTGCCAAGCTCATGCAGAGCATAAATGTCTCCTGTGTGATTCTTTTAAGTTACCCTTTACAGGGCCTTTAGGGTGCTACATGCAAAAGGCTTTTGCAGACTGGGAAAAGTTGTCTTACTCTGTTTTTTAGATGCAAAGCCCTTTGCCCTTTTGTGTGGCATGGGCAATAGGAAGTTGCAAGTGACAGCAGTTGTGCCTGAAGAGTATTTCCCTTGTCTGGGAAGCACAGATGAGAACACTCACATTAGAAGGAAACTTAAGTGTCTGGGAGACTTTCTATTATGTTTAATGGTTACTGTATTTCTGAATGTTTGATTTCTTGTATTAAAATGTAATTTTTCTTCTGAGTAAGATCTTCTGTAGAAGATGTATCTGCTTAACAAGCTCTGTATGCAGGGATGTATAGTTAATAGATTAGAGTTGACATAGGCAGTCTCAAACCCACGGGGTCACATTCTGACTTAAGTTGCAGTCTAAGCTGAAGTGGCTCCAGATTTACACAGGTGTAGCTAGTAGGGTGGTTATTAAGAATAATGGATGTATTTTTGTCCTTCATCTCAGGTGCATTCACTTTCAAGTTTCTTGGTACACTACTAAGCCTTTAAGCACTTAAAACATACATCTTCCTGGGACTTGTCACAAACTTTTTACAACTTCTCAGAAAACTGCTGCTTAGTTTAAAGGGGAAAAGCTTAGGATGAGCAGTGTCATCTAGAGCTATCTAGGCTCTTCTCTCTTCTGTGGGAAGACCCAGGCCCACCTGGCCCAGTTTTATACTCATACGTGCCAAGTTGGGAGCATGGTCAGTCTCTAGCCAGGAACAAAAGCTATCATTCCCAGAGGTTCCTGTCTCTCCTCATTGCCTAAGTCAGTGGCAGTACATGTAACATGGGTTTGAGGTGGCTTTTCGTCTTGGGGTTATTGCTGAATTGATTTGTGCCTTGTAGGACATAACTCTGTACTGCAATTAGTTTTTGCTACAGCCCTTTCTTTAACCACGTGCTACAACTACCACTGGAGTTTCAAGACTCCAGTAACTCCCACTGCTCCTTCCATCTGTTGTAGAACAAGAAAGGCAAAGACAAGGTGTTTTGAAATCCTTTTCCTTTCTGAAGTTGCTCATGTTCAACCCCAGTAAACAGTTGTTGATGATAACAGGGATTACTCCTCAGTTAATCATTTTTTGCCACAAAAAAATATTATCTAATATGCTTGTAAACTCAAGTAAAAGAAATGCTAAGGCAGTTCATACAAAGGTTATTGTAATACCAGATCCGGATGGCATGTTTACATTAACTTGGAATAATGCTCACTGTCTGTAATATGTCTCTTAGTTGATAGCTGTTAGAAGTAAATATGCAGCTTAACTTTCAGAGCATGCTTACCCTTCTGGAGTAAGATATTCGTTCCTTGAAATGGTGTAAAAATAGTAAATGGAAGATGCTGCAATGCTAGATATTCAAGTAAGATTAGAATGCCTTCATTGAATAGGGCTCTACCTCATTTTTACCAGCAGAGGGAGCTATTATCACATCGTATGTACACTGGGATGTGTGAACCAAGGTGTTTAACCAACTTGCATGTTTGCACATGTAACAATATACTACAAATTATACTTATAATAGTACATGCTTTCTTTTGTAGCTGGGAAAAGAAAAAACCTTTGAAATTCTTAACGTGCTGGAGTTTTCCAGGTAAGTTTTCCTTTAATGGACTAAATACAGGGTAACAAGAAAACCATTTTTGAAAACATGTTATTGATAATAAAAAGATACAGCTGATGCAGTAGGAAAGCTGAACTTCCCTAATTGTGTCCTGCCCCTCCTTCTCCTAATTTCCAACATAGGACTAATACAAAGATTCTTACAAACTGGTGGCTGTGGCACATGAGTATGAAGCTTTCCCCTGCCACTCCAGCTCTGTTGGCTTACTGAGAAATTGCTGCCCTGGAAGTGTCATTCTGTGCCTCATTGATTTTCTGATGTGTCATTTGTCTACTTCAGGAACATGCTTTGCGACTGTGATTGCACTTGTCTAGTGCTTCTGTAAATTACTTGGTTTTGAGTAGGTGGAATCTACAACTGGAGGACTTTTTGGTGCCCCTTTAAGAACCACTCTAGCTATGAAAAACTAGACCTTGCAAACATTCTTAACTTGTCAGGCTAGTTAAGATGAGCAAGGAACTTTGTGTGATGAAACAGGCCCCTAAATGACTGGAGATGGTAAAAGGTGCTTTCTCCTTTTCAGTTGATAAAGTTTTGTCAGTTTGAATGGTGCTAGTCAGCAGGCTTTTTTACTGTTTTTTTTACTCTTACTGTGGCTTAAAGCCTTGGAGTCTTGTTCTCTGCTATCTTTAAGTTGGCTGGTTCTGCTCAAAATGGAGTATGTAAAACTGCAGTCAGAATATTTGGGTAGGTAGTTTTTCTTGTGTTCTGGCTTGCTTTGAAGATTTCTCTTGGCTACTTTACCCTTTTCATTCAGAATATAGCTACTTGGGCAACTTGTGGGGATATCTAAAATAGTACTAAGTCTTTTAGGGTTTGACAAGTTGACCAGTACCCTGGTGTCTGTAGACAGGAGTAGCTGTAGCCATCATGTAGCAGAAAAGAGCTGGTTTAGCTCTTCCCTCTGTGTAGCAGCTTCCCACTTGACCAGGGAAGGGAGTTCCTATAATTAGATTTCAAAAAGCACATGGAAGTTTCTTAGTGTCATTAGCTTGCTGCAGAAATTTTGGGCACAGCTAATTACTGTCCTTTCAGACTTTCTTCACAAAGTCTTAGAGACTGTTTTGTCTGACAATACGTGCCAAGAGCTTACTTTCTTACATATGGCTCTTGAGCCCTGAAAAGGGGCTAAATTTCCCAGAGCAACTTCAGAGCAGGAGGAAGATTGCTCTACACCCTGATCTGTTTGTACATATTGGCAAGCAGGCAACGAGGAAGGAGGATGCTTTTGAGGTCTCCTTTCACTAAGGAAAAGAATTCTATGAAACCACACGTTCTTAGGGTTCTCTTGATGAGAGTTGATTTGCCTCTGCCTCTTACAAGCTGCATTCTTTTCCACTGGCTCCTTTAAAGCCACTTGATGGATAAGTAAAATGCCAAAACTGATCTTTTTTTAAAAAAAAAAACACACAACAAAACCAAAAAACAAACCTTGCCCACCTTCCTTTGTTAAACATCTGTGTATGGTATGCTGCTATTTACCTTTATTTAAAAAAAAAAAAAAAATTCTCCAACTTGACTGTCTTAATATGCAGCCCTACTCAGAGGGTCTGACTTTGTTCTATATAATCTCAACTAAGTAGGTCTGATTAGACCAATATAAAGAACCTATAGGGAGGCCAAGAGCTGGTGTATACCACGATTCCTTTCTATGACATTTCTGCTTTCTTTTGAGTTAGGAGGTTAAATAACTGCCTTTGTTGGTGGATTCTTATTCCAATGTCTGTTATGCCTATAGTAAATACTCTATCAGCCTTAATGATTCCATTTCTAGCCTGAGTCCCCAAAACAATTTTGCTTGAGGAATAAGGAAAAGCTGAGAAGAAATGTGATGCATCTTCTTTCAAGAAGATTTTTGTGCCATCTTTCTCTTTTCCAAATTCTTGCTCATATTTAGGTGCAAGTATGTTCTGATTGAGTGCCTGCCAATGGGAGCCATAGGGCTAAAGCTGGAAATGGGTAATTTATTTCTCCTTGCTGTGAAGGATTGTGGGGGTCTTAAGTTACTACTGTTACATCTCACCTTATTTCAGATGCAGTAAATGCATCTGAGAAAATTCACTGGTTAGAACAGGACTTACTCTTCATCACTATGACTAATGAAAGCAAATATTTTTCTTTCAATAGCAACAGGAAGAGAATGTCAGTGATAGTTCGAACTCCAGCAGGACAGCTACGTCTCTACTGCAAAGGGGCTGTAAGTAATTATGCTACCTAATGGAGAACTAACACTACCAGTTATTGTTTCAACAGCTGTGGCTGATGCTGGCATTTCATGTCTCATACATAATACTGGTTGGCTTTCTGTTTAGGGCCAAGTGATTTAAGAGATCTGTCATTCCTTCTCTGACTTTTTGCAGGCAGGAAGGTTGCTAGGCTTTCTACTACCCAGTTGAAATCCTGAAACTAATGGGAGCAGTACCCTTTACTTAACAAAGTCAGGATCTCACCCAGCTGTGTAGCAGCAGTTTAGGAGCTAGTCTAAATGCTGTTGTCTGAATCTGTAATACTAAAATCTGTTCTCAAGTGCTTGGCTGTTGATACAGCTCTGTCACATCTCTCCATTTGCTCTTATTTGTCATCATGACTTGCACCATGTTGTGCTTCTGTCCTCACTGACAAGAGCAATAACTTGCCAAAGTACAAAGGCTGCAAAACTAGCATTGGCCACAGCCAGAGAGTGGTTCTAATTTCAATGGAAAACTGTGGAGGTGGCTTTTTGCAACAGGGAAAACTATTTCAGACTTCTGTAAGGATCTGGTTTACTTGAATTTGTCCTGACACAGAGGTCTGGGTGCACTGCACTGTTGCTTCAGTTTAACTCCCCTGATTTGATAAAGATGTGCCAGCTTCATGCTGGTGTGGTAGGAGTGAATTAAGCCCACTGTCGTGTGCAGTATTTCAAAGTTGTATGTGTAGTAGGACTGCACAGATCTGCAGCTGCTTGTTGCTCATACCATGCCTAAGTTGATACTGTTTCTTGGAGTGTGGCACTGGAAGAGATGGAGAACAGGAGAGTTAGTAGTAAAAAATTCCATGCTGTCTTCCATATGAGCAGGCTTAGCTGTCTAACAGAGCAAAAGGGTTGTAGTAATTAGTGTAATCTGGTGTTTTGTCAGGTATGTTCTGCTGCATCTGGCACTCATCTGAAGTGCAAGTTTGGTGCCTGTTCTATGTGAACTCTTCCGCATTCTGATAGTGATCTCCTGTCCTGTCACTTCTATCATAAATTACTCGTGTGTATGCTTGTGTCTAATCAATGATAGGTGTAGGCCTGTTTACGTAGCTTAAGAGTACACATTTGAGCAAAAGTAAGGTTTCTGTATTTTATGTGTGTGTAGCAACTTGTCCCAGTAGTTGCAGAATAAAATCCAGAGACTCTAGATACAGAGGTGATGGTGCTGTATTTTCATTGCAGCTGTTACCTGGGCCTTTTCAATTGCTGTTTGATTTAGTGATCAAGAAAGCTGCTGCAGGAGGAAGGTTATTTCTGAGAAAATTTTGTGGTAGAACCTGATCAGTGTTTCTGCCTTTTTTTTTTTTTTTTTAACATCAGTGGAAATCTTTTTTAGAAAGGATTGCCAGAAGCTCTCCTGCATGGGACTACAATGTGTACTGAATAAGACCAGACACTTGTATTCTCTGAAAATCAGTGTATCTGCTTAGTAATTCAGAAAGGAGTGTTCTGTACTGCCCAGTAATGGGCACCCCTTTATGGAAAGAGGGAGGAGGGCAGAGTGTACTTCCATCCTCATTGTTTTAAGTGATGCAGTATCTCTGCTCTTGGGCACAGTCCGGATGACATACTCAAACCAGAGTCTCTAAACCCCAAATGTATTGCTTGTAAATATAGTCTTGGGTTCTGTTATTAGTAAGTCCACTCAGGTTACTTCATTTGAGCTTGTAAATATACAGATGGAAACTTCATATGTAGACTTACTCTGTTGTAATGAATTTGGTTTTAATAGGATAATGTAATTTTTGAGAGGCTTTCAAAAGATTCCCAGTATATGGAGCAAACACTGTGCCATCTTGAATACTTCGCAACAGAAGGTAAGAGAAACAGCATGTCATGAGAATTCAGTTTATCAAATTATTTGCAGCACATTCTGCATGGTCTAAGCTTTGCAGTGCCAAATAAGATGGTTATGAAGATAAATTAATACGCGGTGTGTAATCAGCATATTAACAACTCTAGGATAATTTTAAGCTTAAGGAAGTTTGTGCCCTGCTTCTGTGCAATTTCAGTAGGGAAGTGGAATTTAGAAGGAAAAGATGCAGTTCTCTGTGCCCATAGCGAAGGGAAAGGGTATGACTTGTATTGCCTGGAATATGTCAATTAGATTAGAGTTAGAGGTGTTTTTACCAGTGTAGAAGTCGGATGATAAAGTCCTTGGCTTTATGAAGCAGAGTGATAATCTGAACATGCTGAAAAGCCTGGAAGACCAAGATATCAAAGATGACCTGAAATGGTCTGTAAGGCCTTTGTGACTGATGTAATGCCTCTGTTCACAAGGAAGTACTTAGTTTTGTTCCCTCTTCTGCAGCAGCGTAAGATATTTGCATTCTAGTAAAACCATGAACCACTGGTTTTCTTCCTAAATCTGGAAAAAAAGAAAAAAAAAATTTTTTTTTTTTTTTTTGCAGACTGCCAAATTCCCAGTAATGAAATGTTTGTATTTTATGGCAGAGACTCCTTTCTGCTTGACTCAGGCCAGGAAAAAAAAAATCATTAGTTCTGTATGTTAATTTTTGTCAGTGGTCTAATAAAATGGTTTTCATACTTCATGGGCCCTATTCTCTTTTGTGCATGTGTAACTCCCATTAATAATGTGAGTTACGTATATACACTGAAGGAGGAAACAGTCTTTCTAAGAGGAAATGTAGGCTGTGCACTATGTTTGACTAAGTAGTATCTCCCATCACAATATATAGCCGGTTCTTTAATTTGATCTTTTTGGAAATACATGAAAGCCAAGCTTGCTTTCATACTCAAACTAAAGATTAAAGATGACACTTTGTTGCTCTAGTATGGCTAGATTGCAATATTGAAAATCAGGGAGAATTTTGTGCCCATTAGGGTCTTTCTTGATTTGTACCAACATTAGTGACCTAAATGAGCTAGACTTTTTGTTTTACATTTGTAAAAACCCAAATGCTTCAAAAATGTACAAGGAGATTTTCTCAAATCCAGAGTTTAACAGTGTGCATGAAAAGCTACTGTTGTTCCAATGAGAGGGTTAGAATCTAGCATTTGTTAGGGCATTAATGATATGCTGATACTCAGTATAATTTCACTGTGTGTAATGGCTGTTGTCTTCTGATTTGCAGGTCTGAGGACTTTGTGCATTGCTTATGCAGATCTGTCAGAACACTCTTACAGAGAGTGGTTGAATGTCTACAATGAAAGCAGTACAGTTCTGAAAGATAGAACTCAGAAGCTGGAGGAATGCTATGAGATCATTGAAAAGGTAAGATGCCTACTTTTTTGATTATCAGATACAGATTCCCTTACGTGTGTCTCTTCCCATGGCATTTGGGCTTTATACAGTAAAACCAACTGTTGATTTCATTAATGAGAAACTGAAAAGGTATTCTTAATTGGCAGCCTGTTCAGTCCATAGACCTCAAGTTTTAATTCATAAATCCGAGACAAACTTATGTATAAAAGGTCATTGCTACTTAAACTCTTTTCTCACATTCTTTTTATCTTGTTGTCTTGTGTAAGGTTGATGTAACTTGACAAAGATAACATATAAAATCATCGTGTTGCACAGAGTTCCCATGTACTACTACTATAGGAAGAGAAATTTGTTCTTCTTTATACAGCAGTCACAGTTCAGGTTTTCTGAAAGGTGTTGTATTCACTGTAGATGAAAAAAAAGCGCTCACCAAGGCCTGTAGTCGCATGAACTGAAAAAAGGTGAAAAACTGTTCCATGCAAGTTGCAGAACTCATAATTCTGGAAGGGGAGGGCAGGTATCAGAGAACCATTTTGAAATGCTGTAATCCCACAATGAATGAAATGTTAAAATATCAACACTAGGGGCCAGTGTTTCTTTGATAGTTGCTGTTTTTACTGCTTTCTGACATGCTGGTCGTCGCACTTCTCACCTACGCTTGTTCATGCTCTTTTCCTTTGGTTCATTCACTCATTTTATTTAGTGGTTTCTTTAAAACACTCTTTGAATTTCAGTCTCTTCTTTAATTAATATTAACAATGCAACTTAAGTTCTGGAGCACTGTTATTTATGTTATTTGGGGCAGAAGAGGGAAAGAGGTCAAGACTAGGATGGGAGCTAACTTTCATGGGGTAACAGAAGAACTCCAAGAACTCTGTAAGAGCTGAAGTTTGGGCCTTGCTTTGTGTTGGTCAGTCCGTAGCAGTGTGGTTATCTAATCCTTGGTTTTGTAGGTTTGCAGAGCTCCTTTCAGGTTTCTGCTTCCTATACTGTGTTGTCATACTCTTGTATTTTCACTGAGGTGAAAAAATGAACATGGCTTGATTCTCTTATTTAAAAATGTCTTCTCAAACCTTAGATCATTTTTGGCCATCTACCTCCTGCCTATTTTCACAATTCTAATATCTTGAAAAAAAGGGGACCCATGAGTGGGTTGTAGAATTGGAGTTTGGACTTAGTGCCATATTGGTAGGAAGTATCCCCTGTGTTTCTTTACTGCTGATGTTTGCTTTCTGGTCATACCAAGGAGCAGGGAACTGTACTTGAAACTTAATTTTTTTTTTTTCTGTAGCTGGTGTTTCCCAGTTTAAATTCTCTGGTCTGTAGGCATTTCTAGATAATAAACTGACTTGTGGCTGTAACATAAAATATAATGTATTTTAACAGGCTGGTTTTTTTCATCTAAGGGCTCAAACTAGAGTGGGACAGCTACTTTCAGTGTCGTGGTTTAACTGCAGCCAGCAACTAAGCACCATGTAGCTGCTCACTCACTTCCCCCCTTAGTGGGATGGGGGACAGAACTGGGGGCGGGGGGGAAGTAAAACTTGTGGGTTAAGAACAGTTTAATAGAACAAAAAAGAAGAAACTAGTACTGATGGTAATAACAAAAAAATGACAATAGTAATAATGAAAGGATTGGAATATACAAAACAAGTGATGCACAATGCAATTGCTCACCACTTGCCAACCGATGCCCAGTTAATTCCTGAGCAGTGATCCCCCTCAGGCCAACTCTCCCCAGTTTATATACTGGACATGACATCACATGGTATGGAATACCCCTTTGCCCTGGCTGTGTCCCCTCCCAACTTCTTGTGCCCCTCCAGCCTTCTTGCTGGCTGGGCATGAGAAGCTGGAAAATCCTTGACTTTGGCCAAACACTACTTACACACTGATGATTTCAGCTGTTGCTTATCAACATTCTTCTCATATTGAACCCAAAACATAACACTATACCAGCTACCAGAAAGAAAATTAACTCTATCCCAACTGAAACCAGGGCAGTCAGTCTGAGTGTTGAGATCACTAGATCATAGTACAGGTGCACGTGTAGAGACAAACTTAAACTGGCTTCCTTCCCCACCAGTACACCGGTGGAGGGGGTTCAGCAGGCACAATAGTAACTCCCCTGCTTGAGTAGGTCAGCCATGCCGATCCCTTTTCTGTCATATTTAACTGTTGTCAATGATTTTAGGAATAAAAGACAATCTACAATTGCACACTTGGATTGCATTTGTAACCTTCAAATGTTGTTGGCATTGATAGGGCAAACATTTCATCAGGAGGCTGTAGGGTACTAAAGCACATGATTTATGTAAGTTGTTTCTCCTACCTTTACCAGCTGAATATCTCATTACAGAACTTAAACTTTGTAAGACCTGTAACTCATTCATACAGGTGTGTAAGCTGGCATAACTCCTTCTTTATGCATGCAGAGATTCATACAAGCAGGAGCTGCTCAAGATGCCCTCTTTGTAGAATCATAGAAGGGTTTGGGTTGGAAGGGACCTTTTAAAAAAAATCCTCTAGTCCACCCCCCCCCGCCATGGACAAGGATATCTTCCACTAGATCAGGTCACTCAAAGCTCCGTCCAGCCTGACCTTGAACACTTCCCATGATGGGGCATCCACAGCTTCTCTGGGTAGCCTGTTCCAGTGTCTCATCACCCTCATTGTAAAAAAAAAAAAAAAAAATCCTTCTTTATGTGCAATCTAAATCTATCATCTTTCAGTTTAAAACCATTGCCCCTTGTCCTGCCACTGCAGGCCTTGGCAAACAGTCTTTCTTCATCTTTGTTATAAGTTCCCTATATATATATATAAAAAGGCCACAATAAAGTCCCCCTGGAGCCTTGTCTTTTCTAGGCTGAACACCACCAACTCTAACTACTTCTGTTCATTTCATCTGTTTACACTTGTTTTGAATAATTATAGTCCCTACAAATAGAAGCTGTTACTTTTTGTGTGCAATTCCTGAAATGATACAGTATAACTAAACTGAGTTTGTATCAATTTCTTTTTACATACCTAAGGAATCATTAAAATGCTTTTAAAGTTAAAATCTGCTGAGTAGATTGTGCCTTTGACAATGTTTATTTCTTAGGTATTTTTGTCTGTGTGACCTTTTTTCGGTAACATGGCCAAATCTCTTCAAGCAGTTGCTTTAGAATTGCATAAGAATGTGGCTAACTCTGTAGTATTAAATTTGTTGTACAAGGCATGTTTTCCTGGCAGACATCTGTATGTAGACTAGAGATACTTGGATTGATTAATGTTCATACCACTTGTATTACATAAATGTAGTGATTATATCCATAAATAGCTGCAATAATTTTTGCTTTGAGTGATTGTATCCAGTCTGTATGTGCATTTTATGGGGGGAAATTAGTTTAAATGATGTGATGCCAGGTGACTTTTGTTTTGTGAGCTTAAGAAATACATTAACTGTGACCGCTCGTTATGTCGCTATGGTGATTAGTGAATACTCTAGTATATATGTTCATCCATAGGCTAGCTTTGGAGTTGTATAACTTCAATGAATTGCTCTTGAAACTTTGCCATCTTTTTGATCAAAAACACGCTGTTCCATTCTGTACCTTTTGAAATGTGAATTGTATGCAGAGGAAGTAGAATAGCCACACCAGAAATTTACTGTAGTGTATATTGCTTGTCAAAAAGTTGTATTAGCAATGAGGCACAACATGTTGTCCTCGATTCCTTTTTGAGTATATTCCAAACAGATGTTTATATTAAGAAAACAATCTCTCAAATTCTTTTTTCCAGGATTTACTGCTTCTTGGAGCTACAGCCATTGAAGACCGCCTGCAAGCAGGTGTTCCAGAAACAATAGCCACGCTAATGAAGGCAGAAATTAAGATATGGATTCTGACGGGGGATAAACAGGAAACAGCTCTCAATATAGGTATCCATCTTTCTGGTTACTCTGAATTTGTCTGAGATGTAGCAGGTAACGTACTAGATCTGTTGTGTGGGGTCTAAAACAAAATTAGGCCTGCTTCTTATAGAAGGGTTCCTTGATAGCAGGGAGGCATGTGGTAGCCTTCACTTTGGAGAAGAGGGGGGCAGGGTTTGGAGTGAAGTCTTTGCTCTGAGTGTCAGGCTATATTCAGGGTTTTTTAAGGCAAAAGGGACACTTCTGCTCTTGGTTAAGTGAAGTTCTTGTACAGAGTGAATATAGATAACTCTGCCTTCTGATGGAAACCGGAGAGCTCAACCAGACTGTAATGTTTCAATTATGATGTGCATTATATCAAACTGTTACAGCTTTTTTCTTTCTTACTGACTGCCTTGTCTAGATTTTAATGCAGTTTGGGATATGATGGGAAATATGGTAATACAAAGCGTATAGCTTACAAATTCTTGCAAACCTTGTCTGTGAAATAGGCAGAGGCTTGAACATCCTGCTGTCACCTTATGGCACATGTTAGTCAAGCATGTCATGATTGTCAGTAGAAATGTGTTGCTGCTATTGAGTATATGGATAGAGTTTAATGTGGGTTGTTTTATAAAGGTACAATGTGGACATCCTTGTCTCAAACCTGTTGATGTATATTAACTTACAAACTACCTTCGTTGTAATGCAAAAGAAAGTCTTGCAATGATGTGAACAAAAGAACAAATTATTTACCAGACAGGTGTGCTTGGGTACTGATGTAATAGAATGGTAACCTTGAGTCATAGGTGTTTATCTGACTACCTGATTTTGCAGCATAAAATTGGAAAGTTTTTAGCACTGTAAGTTTTAGGTTTGTTGTTAGAAGCAGCACCTAAACATTAGGTTTTCTTTCAGGTTATAAATGTATCTGGTAGAATCAGTTTATATATCCAACTCTATCTGTAACTTGTCAAATACAAAGATCTTGCTTTAAGGCTGGGCTGAACTGGAGGTGCATATTGTAATTTCAATCCTATAGCAGCTCGATGTAGCACTGCTATTGTGCTAGCCTTGCATTGCATATCCCACATAAGTAGATCTAGTAAGTATTCAAAACTCAAATTCTTCACCCTTTTTCTCACCGTGGATGCTTTGCAAGGTGGGCAACCTGAGTAGCAATACCTTGTGCTGTCATAGAATGCTGCCGTGCTTGAAATGCTGATTTGTGAGCTGTACCTATGCTGCCATCGTGCCATTGCCCTTCACACTACCCTAGTAGCCTCCTAGGAAGGGGGCTATCCAGGTATTAACTGAGTAATAAAGACTTGGTAAAGGAACAGATCCTGATACAAGCACACCTCCCCTTCATGACATCTCTTATCTCCTAAATATAGCATCCTTGGCAGTATAGTGCCCTGATGCTCTTGTATTCTTTTTGATTATTTTTCTCCCTATAACTGGTAAATCTGCCCAGAGGTGGCAAGAGGCAGAGTGGCACTCTGGTGATCTGGTATCTTGCAGAAATGAGTGACGCTTTCAACTTGTTTCTTAAGACTATAACACTGTGCTTATCCCCACTGTCTCTAGTGTGCCCGTGTAAAGTGCCATCCGCAACTGCATTCAGATTTGCAGATTTTAGTCTGTTTAGATGTAAAGATGTAGGTTAAGGGGATCCTTAAAAGCACAGGTTGCCTTCTGTTGAAGGAGCTATTTTTTTAGCCTTCTCAAGCTCATGTTGACCTCAAGATTTTCTAACTATATGAAGAATTTGACCACTAAAGCTTTTTATATGTAGAACTGCATGTAGATGGGTCTGGGTGTATTTCAGGCTCCCCCTGGCAGAACTGTGATGCTCTGTAACGGAACTTATGTTACCTTTAGCAAAACTTCGGGCATTTGCTATTTTTTGTCCCTTTTTTTTTTTCTGCTTTGGTTAGTTTAGTGGAATTTAAGAATGTGGTCTGCTTGACTGACTAGAATTTTTGTTTATTTAGGAAAACTGATTCAAGTTTCATGGATCTTTGTATGTCAGAGTTGGTACCGAGGTGAAACAACTTGCTGAACTGATACAGTTGTAGTAGAAATAAGGTGGATGGCTTAAGTAGACGATTTAAATGCTAGTTATCTGGTTTGAATCACTGTCTGCAGTTTTTGTTTTCTTTAAAAGCAGCGGTCAACTTGAGAGGAGGGAAGCATCATCTTTTGACAAATTAAAAAAAACAAACAAAACCTTCAGATATTGGCATAAATAAATAAAATAAGTTGATATGTTAACTGACAGCAGCTAACCTGAATACAAGTAAATGAGCTTTACAGAGATTGCTTACTCTGAAGGCTGTGAAGGACACCAGCTTGTCTTGAAAGCTGTTTTTTTGTGGTAGCAACTTGGAAAAAATAACCATCTCCCTTATAACTTCTAAATTATCACTTTGTTTAGTGTATAATTTGTTAATAAAACTTGAACTTAATTAGCTTCATGTTCAGTTTGTCTTGAAAGTACAAACATGGGGCACCATTCCAGTTCTCATATATAACCCATTAAAACTGTAAAAAAAAAAAAATCTAAAACCCAATCCACATGTACACTTTATGCTTCAGGTGCAAATATGCTATCTGGGGAGTAAAAGGTATTTTCACTTTCTCATTGTGTGTGGAGCTTGTGCTTATGGACTCTGGCTTGCTATATGGCTATGCATATGTATTGAGGTATATTTGAGCTCTTGGCAGCTGCCCTGAGGAGTTGGAGTAGTTTGTTCTTCCAGCTTCCTCTTGATTCTTTGGCCTTCAGAATCTGTGTGTGTGTGTGTCTGTTGTCTCTTAATTGCACTCTTGACTTTTCTGAAGAGTAATTATTGACCTTGCTGGGGGGGATGGTTGCATGCCTTCCACTCAGCCGTGTGCCATCCAATAGTTCTGCAGCTGCAGGAGAGGAGAGTGTTCCTCATAAGCTTTAATACTGATCAACCATTTGAACTGTCTGCTTATAGAACATAGGAGTTCCAGGTTCAGAAACATCTTTGAGCATGACATATGGTCCTCAGTTTTTATCAGCTGAAACTGTCCTTAGTGAGTGTCTGCAAACAACTCTAGAAGGCTTAATAGTGTTCTTGTAGCTTCATCATTCTCTTAAAACAATCTGTAGACTCTGGATCTTCTTTGCCTTTCAGTGAGGCAAAAAAAAAAAGGCAGATTTTTGTTTACCACTATCCTGGTGCTCAGCAGGCTTCCAGAAAATCAGAATTGATGGATTTCCAGCCAATAACTTCCTTAGTAAACAGATTGTTTTCTGGGAATGGGAATGTAGTGTTCACTGAGCTGTATCTGTCCTTGAACAAGAAATCAATTCCTACAGTTGAGCTAAGTGCTCTTACATAGAGTATGCATTGATAGCTGCGAGCACTACCTTACAATCACAGAATCATAGAAGGGTTTGGGTTGGAAGGGACCTTTGAAGATCTAGTCCAATCCTTCTGCCATGGGCAGGGACACCTTCCACTGGATCAGGTTACTCAAAGCCCCATCCAACCTGGCCTTGAACACTTCCAGGGATGGGGCATCCACAACTTCTCTGGGCAACCTGTTCCAGTGCCTCACCCCCCCATCATAAAAAAATTATTCCTTATGTCCAGTCTAAACCTACACTCTTTCAGTTTATAACCATTGTCCCTTGTCCTGCCCCTGCAGGCCTTGTTAAGAAGTCTGTCCCAGTCTTTCTTAAAAGTACCCTTCCTCTATTGAAAGGTCTTCCAGGGCCTTCTCTTCTCCAGGCTGAACAACCCCAACTCTCTCAGCTTGTCTTCCTAGGAGAGATGTTCCAGCCCTCTCATCCCTTTGTGGCCCTTCTGGACCTGCTCTTAGAGGTCCATGCCTGTCTTGTGCTGGAGGCCCCAGAGCTGGACGCAGTACTCTGGGGGGGGTCTCATGTCCAATTTTTCATCCACCAGTATCCCTGGGTACTTCTCAGTAGGGCTGCTCTCAGTCTGTTCATCCCCCACTCTACTGACTGATGCTTGGAATTGCCACAACACAGGTACGGGACCTTGCACTTGGCCTTGTTGAACTTCATAATGTTCTTATGGGCCTGCTCCTCAGGCCTGTCAAGGTCCCTCTGGATGGCATCCCTTCCCTCCAGCTTATCAACTGCACCATTCAGCTTGGTGGCCTCTGCAAACTTGCTGAGAGTGCACTTAATCCTGCTGACATCAATGAAGATAGTAAATGGTATTGGTCCCAGGACTGACCCCTGAGGGACACCATTCATTACTGGTTTCCACTTGGATGTTGAGCCATTGACTAACACTTTGGACACAGCCATCCAGCCAACTCCCTACCCATCTAACAGTCTGTCCATCAAACCCATATCTCTCCAATTTAGAGGTAAGACCACTTCTGTTACGGGAAGCTGTGATTTTTTTTTTTTTTCAATTGAGGGAAGTGAAGCAATGCCAGTATGCTTGCCTGTATCCCGATGTGAAGTTTGAGCAGGGCATATGTGTCCTCTCTAAACAGAGGGTAATCATTCTTGCCTGACATGATGGATTCTGTGGGCTATGATCGTGAAGTCTGGTTCAAGCAATCTTTCTTCCAGGACACTTGAAGGGAAATAAGTGCCAGAAGTACCTGATTCATCTGCTTCATGGACTTTTAGTCAGGCTTTTAAATTAAAGAGTTAGATATCAACTTACAGGTGTGGATTGACATTTTACACTTAGCTGTGAACCAGCAGTTGATCGTATTCTGCTCAAAAACATTGGCAAAAATATGCCCTGATATTAATGTTTTTTTGGTTGCTATCTTAGTACTGCTAGTAATAACTACTACAAAACTATTATAAAACTTGAAAATATGACTACAAATGTTACTTGTAATCTTACAGTTGCCAGTTCATTTGCTTTATACTAGTGCTAGATTTTAACATCTTCATAGTCCTGAAATTGTACATAATGTATAGATTTCCTATAAAACACTGTTAGGCTTGACTTACATCTTCCTATTCCAATTCTGATCTCCTTTCTGTTTAATGTGATGACAAGCTGCAAAATGGCCTCAACTGCAGGATTAGTTCTTCTGACTCTGTGACTTCCAAGATGCACAGCAGAGCAACTGTTTTCCATAGTTGTGTTTTTTTCCAGCTCCACTTGTCAAGTAGCATCTTGCTCTTTTTGAAAGAGGCAAAATGAAACAGTGAGCAGTGGTTTAGAAATTACAGCTTGCTGTTGCACCTGCTGTTCCAATCAAATCCTACTAGAAAATCCTTTTGAATTAGTTATACTGAATTTGTAACAGCCTATGGCGCAAGGCTGCCATTCTCTGGGGAAAGAATAACTGTGATGTGGAGGGAAGTGCTTAAGTTTATAGTGTTCTCTTTTTCTCCTCAGTAAAAATAAGGAAGGGGTTCTTCAGCCTGGGACTAACTTTTAAAAGTGGCAAACTGACTTTTTTACCCAAGTTAGTGTTTTGTCTATACCTGTTGAAGCTTCATTACTCAGTTCTGTATTAGCACCTAAGATTTGTTCACAGGCAGAATCAGAGGCTATCTGCAAAGCTTTCATATGTTGTAGGCTGTGCTTTCTAGAATATATTTTGTCCTTTTCCCAACAGGTGTGTGTAAGTTCAGTGTCATTCTGTGTTGTTCTCTAAAGCAGAAAGTAAACCTTAGCTTGTTAACACAAATAAGATGAAAATGTATGTGGAAGGTTGCACCTGATACTCATATTCCACACAACTGTGAAAATGGGAGAGAAATGAAACTTCTGCAGGTAATCAAACCTGCTGCCTGAAAGTGCCTCTATGTGATAGAAGCATGCCTTCCACGAAGGAAGATGAGGGATTTGCTTTCTTGATGGAAGTCATTCATGCAGCGGGCATGTTAACCCTGGATTGTACCTACAAAACTAGCCCAATTACAAAAATTCGGTAGCCTGAGGAAATGATTTGCATTGCAATTGGTGAGCCAGTATAGCCTTCCTAAGGAACGAAGAATACCACAGAAAATAAATTATTGCCTCAGTTGTTCTCTTGCTGTTGTGAGATATGGAGAGAGACACTTAATCTTTTTACAATGACTACGCTGTTCTGCTTTTGAACCTGTCAGCCTTGTAGTGGTTCATTGCTGGGCTGTTACTCTTACACTGCAGTAGCCTCCAGTCTCCATTTTAGAAAAATAAAAGACTTCTGAGACCTTGTTTTATTTCACAGCAATTTCTTAAACTTGCTGTGATTCATTTCTATGCAAAAGCATAGTAGAAATACAAAATAATTCTATTGTATATCCTTCTCCTGTGTCACTTAAATCAGCAATAAAAGGCACTTGCTTCAAATAATGAATTCTGTGCTGTTTTATGAAGCTACGTGACTGCTAATCCCAAGAGAACTTGCATGAGCTTTTAGGATAATGCGGTGGGGTCAGTCTGATGTGAGTCTGCATTTGTCTCTTGCCATTCATATGAGCTGGAATTAAACTGTTTATTTTGTAAGTGCCAAGTACGTATATCCTGATATGACTTCGTCTCGTGTCGGTGACAATCGTGTGGCAGAGGAACTGCCACTTCAGTGGCATTGAGTGCTACTGCAGTCACTGGCTTTCCCTATTACAGAAATAAAAGGCTTTTTCCGGTATTTTTGCTTTGAATTTTGGTGTCCTGGCAAATGTATAGAACCGCTTTCCGAGTGCTGCTCCAGATAATGGCAACTTGCTCTTGTTCTTTCATGCCCCAGTCCTACACTAAGAATAATCGAGTACAATTACATGATACCTGTAGAAGTTGGTAGGGGCTCGATGTCATTGATCTGTAGTTTTTGATGAAGCTACGGACCTTCCACACTAAACACTTAGGAGTAAAAAATGTTCACGTAACCCAGGTGTGGGCTAAGGGGACTGGGTGGCACCAACTGATTCAACATACGTGCTTCCAGTCACGTGGCATAGCTGCAACCGTGCATTCAGATGTGTTCCTGTAATATGTTGAAGGCAATTCTGCCCTCATGCAGATTGGAAAAAAAAAAAGTATAGAAATATTTAAATTTGCTTTAGGGCAATAGCCTGTATTTAATGCATCTAGTTCATACAGTGTTTTCTTTAGTTAAAAAAATCTCAAGTGATGTATCTGGAAACGCAGATAAAACACAGCCTGTGTTGCTAGTAGAATTGTCAAATTGGAGTGTGTCCTATACACCAATGTTTCCATTAGCCTGCTTATTAGGGGTAACTGCTCAAAGTAAATTGTAATCTGACCTATCAATGCTTATCTTTAAGGTTTAGCTAAACCTTAAATATTCTTCCAAAAAGTAAATTCTTGTGGTTTATTTTTCTTGCAGGGTATTCTTGCAGACTCATTTCACAGAGTATGTCTCTCATCCTGGTCAATGAGGATTCACTAGATGTAAGTAAGCAATTTCTGGTATAATTCTTGACAGAAGGAGGTGTTGCTAACAAAAGGGAAAGTTGTTGAGCTTTCTCATTTTATTTCTCTCACTTGCCTTTAGGCGTAGCAACATAAACAATTCATGCTTAAACAGGGGTGGGTTGTGCAAAATGTACTCCTGAGGTCTCCAGTCACAAGCTGTACAGATCAAACTATAGTCTCAGAACAAGAAACTAATTAGGTCCATGGGTTTGATTCTGCTGCAAACTGGTGAAACCTGCAGTATGTCATCAGGAATATGGTTAGGCTCTAAGGTATAGTTATAGTAGTAACATAGACTTACTGAAATGCATATCATGTAGCTGTACAAAGGAATACACTTACATACATTACCGTAGGATTTTTAGACCCCTGAAAGGCTTCTGTGTTTTATTTTTAAAACTTGGTATGTTTTTCATTGCTTTAGGAAAGTAGGGGGGGTTAGCTAATTTTATCTATACAGTTGATGTTCTTGGAGTCCTATTAGATCCTTCTGCTTTTTAGACAAGTCTTTGATTCTTCTCTTGAAACAAGAGAAAATGGAGGCCTATGACAGCTGGTTTTGATTCAATAGACCCTATATGATGTTGAAAGTGCTGCTTTAGCAAGAACTCGTTGTGAGGCTATATCTCTTCAGCTTGATCTGCTTGCACTTGATGGGCTGGTATGTGGGTTTTGGGGAAGGCATGCTGATAGTCTCCTTACCCCCCACTTTTGAGTCCCTTTCAGAGGGTCAGCTGCCTATTTGACAGCTTCTGTTGACAACCTCTGCCTCAGTATATATATTAAATGCCAAACTAATTGTAAAAAGTGAAACCTGTTCTTCTTATTTTTATCTTGAAACAGATCTACAGAAACAAAAATGGCTACCAGAGAGAAAATGAAACTGGAGAAAGAAATAAGAGTTAAAGAATGTGGTACAGAAAATCCTGAAAGATAGGAGCTAGTGTACTCCAAGAAAGTATAGAGGGGATCTCCTAATTTAAAATACTTGAAGGCTTATTTTAATTCCTTTCTGTAATTAGCATATGCACTTTGAGGTTTTGTGTGTTCAGCTTTCCCAAACCTTAGCCAAGAGGTATGAGGGAAAGATAATGTAATGTGGGGACTCAACTGGGAGAAAATGTCATAGACCAAAGCATTTCTTCTCACTTTCCCACATGCCAGCTTTGCAAATACTGTGGAGTGACAAAACTTCACGTGGAGTGATAGACAGGATCCCTGTGGAAAGAAATTAATTTAAGTTGGAAGAGGCTAAATAATCCTTTCCCCATCAAAGGGAAGCTATGAAAGGGAAAAGGTGACAGATCCAGCCACCCACTTGTTGAGTCCTGAATCCATTGCCCAGTTTCAGATGGAAGTCTTCTGAGGCACTGGGAGGACAGGAATGAACAGCCATCTCTGCTGTTTAGGAGATGGAGACTAGAATCAGGTGAGGAATAGTAGGGCAAGCAGTTATTTTCATAATTTTAAAGCTTTCTTGTAAGTAAATGTTGTGCTCCTCTTTTGAGGTATTCTGTTAACTACTTGAGAAGTAGAAACTGGAAGTCTGGAAAACTGAATACAGAAGTATGTATTTTTGCAGTGATAGCCAACAAATAAAAATTAATCTCTGGGTCTTAACTCAGGGGCGTTAACTTTTAATTTCTAGAGAAACTAGACTTCTTAAACAGCTGTATTACAAATGAGAAAATGGATAAAGATAAAAAAAAGACAGGGTAATAAACTGAGAAGCTGAATGGATTGAACAGTCTCAGAAGGTTTGAGGTTGTATTGGTCTTCATGATATGGCTTAGGATAACGAGAAATTATCAAGACTACTGTTACAACTTCATTGACAATCTGCTGTCTTACTATGGTGAAGTGTTGGCAGATTTATCTAATCCACAGTCTCTACTATGAACACCAGAGGTATATTGACAGACCCCATGATGGTAAAGGGGGGTCATTGGTCACATGTAAAACATATGAAAATATTGCTGGAGTTTCCTACTGTCTCAATGCCAGAAAGCACTTTGGTTGGCTGGATGGGGGTGTGGAGCCTGTTTTAAGACCCTTGAGGACTCTGTATTTGTCTTTAAAGAGTGAATGGGGATGGGACACTTCCTGATTCTACAGAATACTGGCTGTTAAGATGGATCTGTTCCTGAAATAAGAAAAAAGCATGAGAGGTCAAGGGATGACACCATCAGAGCCATTTCATATGCATCTTGCCACATGGCTAAGTCTAAGGATACACTAGAGTGAGAAGCCCTGATCAAACATGGGTTGGCATAGAATGAAACCCATTCCTCCCCTCTTTTTGCCCGACCTCTGCCAACATAGAAAAGAAGTATGCAGTCAACTTTCAGGCATACTTTAAAATCCCTGGATAAAAAAAGGAAACTCTATCATCATCTTTTCCCACCTGCTACTTCTAGTTATGTAGCTGGATGAGGAAATACAGTTAGCGCAGCAGCTGCTCCTAAATTTTTAAGTTGGAATTGTAGTGTTGCTGATGGCTCATGTTGAATTGAACACCTTACACCTTCATTCTGGTCTCAACTGTGTTGATCAGTAGTATCACAGTACACTTAAGGATCCACTTTTGCAGATAGCTGAAGATACTTTGGAGAACTTAATGCTAAATGCTTACCTTGGTGAATTAATGTTATGTGGTGCTTGGTGCGCATAAAGTAGTGATGGCAGAATGGGAAGTGGGAGGAAACAATGGACGGGCCCTACCTGTGCATAGCAATATATCTTCCACACTTTCTAACTTTAGTTGATTCCTTCTGGTTTCCCTTTCATGTGCCAAAAATGTGAGCTAATACTACAACAGTGCTAAAAAACGTAAAAGGTTGGTGTCTTTAATTTTCATGCTTTTCATTTGTGTAGCTTTACTTCTTTGAAACAGCATCATCTAAATTATGCAGTTATAAAAAGCGAGGGCATCTCTTTTCTGGTCCTGCAACTTTAGATAAGTTGGAGTTGGAGGTGAAAAACTTTGTCAGCTGTACATGTCTGTGGCAGAGGTTCTAAGGAAGGGGTCATTGCTGCTGTTGGAGTGATTTGAGTTTGAAAAGTGATAGCTGTTAAACAACATCCCCTGTGCAAAGTTGAGAATTTACTTCAGACATACTGTGCATCAGTATTCTTGGACCATTTCAGCATTAAGTGCAGACTTTATACTTGAAATAGCCTATAAGACATAACCATGGTTGATTCATGTTGAGTAATGTCAGAGTCCTTAAGCCGCTAGTAAGTGGATAGGTTTTAGCATAAGCAGCAGGTAAAATAGTATCTATTCTTAGTTTATTCAGGTTCTAGTTAGACACTTGTACATTAAAAGTAAGCTTTGGAAAATGAGTGTTGCATGTTCTGCTTTTCCTCTGCTGCCTGCTCATCTAGTAGGTGTTGCAATAATTTCATGCGTGGTACACTTTGCTTATAGAATCCTTCTGTAAACTAAGACAACAGTTTTAGAAGTTTTTCAGTAAACCTGAACATCAATGGAAGCTTTTAGAACACTAAACACCCTCCCATCCCCCAAAAAACAAAACCAGAGAAATGGAGAACCATGGCATGTCAGGCGAGCAAAAAAAAGAAAACCCCTATTGATATATAGTTGCTGGTCTTTTAAGTGAAGAAAATGGGTGATTACATGGTACATCATGAAGCCATATCTAATATTGAAGGTGACCGTGATGCTTTAGCTCAGATAACATGTGTTTTTTTCCAAAACAGGAGCACAAATTTGTGGCATTTCTAAACTAGTACATTAAAGATGCTTTGTATTACATCAGTCTTGTTTTCAAACCAAAATAATTCTGTTTAAGTACTCTCATCACCATTTTTAATGTAGAACTGAATTTTGTGTAAGTCTAAACATAAAACTCCTACATGTTTTGTTAATAATTGCCACTGGTTCTTTTAATTCTAAGGTAAGTGTCTGTAGCTACTTATCACTGTTTTTTCGGTGTTGGGTCTCCATAGTAATACTTACTTTGTATGTTGGACCTGTACCAAATTATGACTTCTGTTCAACTTAGCCTAAAATCTATCAATGGAAGATTCTCACACTGAAATTCTGTAGCATTATATTTAATTTATTCTACCTCTGAAATCCGTTAATGCTAAAAATGAATGTTTACAAGATCCAAGTTGAGCTTAGAGCCTTTAAATATTGATACACTTTCCCCTTTGTATGGTCCCTGTGTGACTTCCCCCCCCCCCGCCGCTTCTGCTCCTTGGCATGCAGCAGCAGGTGAGATGTGATCGAACAACTGTCTTGGCTTGTTTTTGAGAGCTAAATTTTATTCTAAATCATGCACTTCAGGGAAAAATCAATCACTTCTGTTCTCTTCAGAGAACTACTGGGAATAGAAAAGACTAATCCCTAGCTTGATTCAGCTGAATTCTAGAAACTTAGCATAATAATCTGCAAATGTTTATCCCTTATAGAGTTAGCTACATGCATACATATGCTCGCTTGGTTTTTCTTTCCTTTTCCTAATAAAGCTCTTTTAAGTGAAAATATTTTGAGCACGAGATTTATTTTGAGTGTAATTCTTGGATTCAGTTTCTGTTTAGTTAAATTGAAAACACTGAATTCTTGTTATGTAGCTCTTAACCTGGACAAATTTCTTTCATTGTTATCTCATAGAAGTTGACTTGTGAGGGCAGTGAGAGGGAAATCTGAAGAAGGGCAATGTGATGACCCAGAGAGACCCTGAAAGCCTCAGATGAGACTAGTGGATATCGCAGCCGACGAGTGTTGGGTGTGTTCCCCCTCCCGCCTTCAGTGCTGTGGAAAGGAGACCTGGGAACTGTATCAATTAGTTATCACATGGGGTTGTAATTAACAGTAGTGGAAGGGCAAAATTGGAGGGACCCAATTCTGAACATATGCATGGTATTTTGCTATAAAGTAATTCTGTTGATATAAATGGAACTACACAGTGAATGTGTCCTGCAGAACACATGTGCCTGGACTGATG